ACTATGAGTTGATTGCTTATATCAGGGCCCGTATTCATGAAACCGTTCTCATGCTCAAACATGGATTCTGTGCTCAAGCCAGCTTTCTTGTAACCCACCTTAGTCATGTCAATGATCAAAAAGTCAAATTTAAATATTGAAAACAATATTCGGCTTCAAGTTTCCTCAATTTTTGTCCAAAACCTTAACAAAAGAAGATTTTTTAAATAATTTATAACTGGAACAAGAAATAAGACTTGAGCACAAAATCCATGCTTGAGCATGAGAACGGTTTCATGACTAGGGGCCCAGGTTTAGGTAGAATTGGCCTGTTTGAGAATTAACTGTGACTGAAAACACCTTATTCAGTCTGACAGGGTAGCCATCTCTGATTTTGGACAAATCTCCAAATTATCAATCTTGTTCAAGGCTATGATAGGACAATTAAATCATTCACCCCTGAGGACACATTTGAACTCTTCCGATTCAAAGGTTGGAATAGTTCATTATGAAATTTCAGGGGTGAATGAGTAAATGAAATGCTTGAAGAATGCTAGCTGTGAGCACCGAAATGGCAGCACCGGCTGTATGCTCCCCAGGGAGTGGAGAAAGATATTGGCTGGTTGCAAAGGCCCTATAACCACGGATAATAATTTGTGAACCGCTTTGAGACGACCTACGAACTAGGTTGTGATAAAGCGGTATATAAGAACCTGGAATTATTATAATTATTATTGTTTGTCAAAATCAGCCACATGGAACTTGAAGGTTGAAAATTACTCTGGCATTCATGGGCCAGGGTAGTAGTTTGGGATCTGGCAACAGTCTAAATATAACAGCACTCGGTCAGGACCATGAAACTATCATTTGCATGAAGCATGTTACAATGGTCTTTTAAAAGTTGTACCTACATTTCCTCTATCAGGCCCTGTCCCAGGAGATTTTGTGTCTTTCATATACACAAAACTGAATCCTTTTGGTCAAATATTAAAAATTACCCACGTTCAAGAAACAGTTACTTGAGTGAAAGCTCCTTGCCAGTAACACTTACTTCTGTAGCAGTGATCACAGATTGGTGTTCGATAGGAACGTTCTACATGACGTACCATAATAATACACTCTGGTGTTAAAACAGTCATCAGATGAAAGACATTATTTTAAAATGATATTGTTTAATAATTTCCAGACAAAACAAATGTGGATTAAAGTCAGTAAATGGAAGATAGCAAACAGAAAATATATCACAAAGAATATACTCAACAGATCTAAGATTAAAATTTCACGAGATCATTATTCTGTCACTAACATACAGGTATGATATAAGTAATGTCAACATTGTTTACATCATAGTTCAACTACAGGCAAACAACACAAGTCTACATCAAAGCTTTACTTCATACACAATCAATTCTATTAAATGTGTCGTAACATTTCAAGACCGCCTGGTCCCTTTGTCAAGTTATGCCCGAGTGTGAGCGACTTGTATTTTTTACCTGTTCAATGATATGATGAAATTGTATATTTCCTATGTCACTCGGTTAGCCTATTGACAGAGAGTGTATACACATAAACAATATAGATTGCCCACTCAGTCATAGCTTGATGATATAACAGATTAAAAAACTGATGAATCTTATTGAAAATATAACAAGTCCATATTAAGTACAAAAATGATCTCACTACAAATGTATTTAATCATAATATTCTGATTAAATGTAAAGAAATGGATAAAGAGTAAGTTTTCAGTTTTTCCAGAAGTATATAATTTCTGTACTATCTATATTAAGTACAAAAACTATTTCACTACAAATGTATTTAATCATAATATTCTGATTAAATATAAAGAAATGGATAAAGAGTAAGTTTTCAGTTTTTCCAGATGTATATAATTTCTGTACTATCTATATTAAGTACAAAAATTATTTCACTACAAATGTATTTAATCATAATATTCTGATTAAATGTAAAGAAATGGATAAAGAGTAAGTTTTCAGTTTTTCCAGATGTTTATAATTTCTGTACTATCTATATTAAGTACAAAAATAAACGATTGTAAAACCTTAGAAGTATCATGAGAAAGCATTTTCCAAACTAAGACTAATGGTGCCATTTAAACGATTTTAGTTTATCTATCACTGACAAAATGAGAATGTCTTCAGAATTGTATTTATTATTGCAGATTCTGAAAACTTTTTGAACACCAGTACTGCATGAAGGGCAGAACAATATACACCCGTCCCATGTCAATCCGACATTCTTAAAATCCTTCTGACGTATTATTGTATCTCTGACGTATTATTGTATCTCTGACGTATTATTGTATCTCTGACGTATTATTGTATCGAAATGTATGTAAATAAGGAAATGGAAGGAGAAGGAACAATATTTGCACTGTATACGTATTGCTCATTAAGATTAAGAACTTTTTTTTTTAATGTGGTGAAAGGATAAAACTCAATGTACTTGACCAACTTCAGCAGAAGGAATCTATATCCTTTATGACCTTTAGTTAATTAATTTTCATAGGAATTGTCTCCCTTTGTATATGAATTGTCTCCCTTTGTATAGGAATTGTTTCCCTTTGTATATATTTCAAACCATGAAAATAGAAATTAAACATGACCCTTTCTGCCAATAATCAATTCATCTTACAAAATCACAGCCAAAGATATGTTATTGTTCATTAAATCCTGGCAGATTTCACTACTGGACCAAGTGTAAATAAGACCAAGCATCATCAAAATCCTGTCATATTTAACTAACTAATTACATGTATGTGAAAACCGTTGACCAAGCAGATAGAAGTATGCAAATTAACTATGCACAGGTTTTGCTCACGTTTAAGCTTAGCCTTAGTCATTGTATAAAATAATTACTGACCAGGTTTTATCAGAATCGGGTCATATTTGATGAAGTTATTTTGCAGAAATTCTGTCAACCAATCACAGCACAGTATGCTAATTAATTGTGCGTTGAGTATGCTCAATTTCAAAGTGACCCTCAGCATTACATAATATACATGCATACCAAGTTTCATCAAAAGTGAACATTATTTAAGCAAGCTATCTTGTGGAATCCAAAGTGTGGACGGATAAATATTACGATTCAGTGCCACGAATAAAGCCTGAAGTGATACGTGGAATGGTGACAGTTGGATACCTAACCATCAAACATTATATCAGGTTATTTTATATGTGATGCTAATTTAGCAAAATTTAGTACCTGAATTTGTGAATTTTCAAGTTTTTACCTCGATTATCATTATCACATTAGTGTGTGGTATTTTTTAGTAATTGATTAAAAAGTTTTGTTTAAGAATTTCATCATTTTGTGAATAAAGTGAAAAATAGATATTTGCAAAATATTCCTAATATCTTGTATAGGTCAACATGGTTTTCTTGATCCTCCACATAAATGTATATGTATTATAAGTATAATAGGAATATTAATATACATGAACTTTTCATAAACCAAATGCCTGATCGAGCAAACTATCCAAAAGTCACAAGGCACTTACAACAGGATGTCTGTGTGAAATATAAATATCAGCACCTCACCCAATACAAATACGTAGCAGAATACCCGGAAACGTCCCTCTCACACTCTTACTCTCCAGCAAACGTCCCTCTCACACTCTTACTCTCCAGCAAACGTCCCTCTCACACTCTTACTCTCCAGCAAACGTCCCTCTCACACTCTTACTCTCCAGCAAACGTCCCTCTCACACTCTTACTCTCCAGCAAACGTCCCTCTCACACTCTTACTCTCCAGCAAACGTCCCTCTCACACTCTTACTCTCCAGCAAACGTCCCTCTCACACTCTTACTCTCCAGCAAACGTCCCTCTCACACTCTTACTCTCCAGCAAACGTCCCTCTCACACTCTTACTCTCCAGCAAACGTCCCTCTCACACTCTTACTCTCCAGCAAACGTCCCTCTCACACTCTTACTCTCCAGCAAACGTCCCTCTCACACTCTTACTCTCCAGCAAACGTCCCTCTCACACTCTTACTCTCCAGCAAACGTCCCTCTCACACTCTTACTCTCCAGCAAACGTCCCTCTCACACTCTTACTCTCCAGCAAACGTCCCTCTCACACTCTTACTCTCCAGCAAACGTCCCTCTCACACTCTTACTCTCCAGCAAACGTCCCTCTCACACTCTTACTCTCCAGCAAACGTCCCTCTCACACTCTTACTCTCCAGCAAACGTCCCTCTCACACTCTTACTCTCCAACACTCACATCTTTATAAAACAGCTGACTATTCTATCTTCTCTTTTATCTTATATCTTGTAATAATAATATTAAAGAATAAAAATAGTGATTTTTTCATCACTTTACAAACTCATCACAGGCCTCTGTGCAATCCAAAACTCATCTCACGACCCATTATGACTCCAAACTCATCTAATGCCCCTGTGCAATTCTAACTTTCCTCATTCATCTCTGTGATTCTAAACTCATCTCATGCACCTGTGATTCCCAACTCATCTCACAACCCGCTGTGATTCCAAACTCATCTCAAGTCCCTGTGTGATTCCAAACTCATCTTACAACCCGCTGTGATTACAAACTCATCTCATGGCAATGTGTAATCCCAAACTCATCTCACAACCCAACGTAATTCCCAACTCATCTCATGCCCCTGTGTGGTTCTAAACTCATTTCAAAACCTGCTGTGATTACAAACTCATCTCATACCCCTGTGTGATTACAAACTTATCTCATGTCCCTGTGGAATACCAAACTCATCTCACAACCCACTGTGATTTTTTAAACACATTCCAAGCCCCTTTGCAATCTCAAACTCATCTCACACCACTCCATTGTGAGACCAACTCTTCACAAGCCCCTGTGCAATTCCAAACCATTCTAAAAAATTATCATCATTCACTGATATAACCAATCATCACGAGTAGGTGTCTCTAATATTGTTTATGTTTTGTTACATTTCAACCTCTGTATATAGATTACCTGTCTATTATAGATAGGCTTAAGACAGCAGCCTTACAGGTCAGAGTTATAATTATTTTTACTAACTGTTCATAGTTCATCTTTTTTAGTATTCTTTTCTTCTTTCTTTTCGTCTTTCTTTTCTGCCTCCTCCTTCCTTTTCTGCTGTCGTTTGAACTCCCTCTCACACCGGCCATTGATGATCTGTTCGGCAGCCTTGATTCCAGTGTCGTAGGCTCCGTGGGCCCCAACCATGCCATCGAGACTTGTGTATTCCCCAGCAAAATAGATGTATGGACAGACTGGAGTGCTTAAAATATCCCACATGCTGGCATTATTACCTAAAATATTAAATTGCTTTACAGACTACAAACGTTACAATGACAACAAAGTAGATACATGGTGATAATGTCTCACTGAATTGGTTACGTTTGTTATCATATGTATAAGCCTTTCTGTTGGTAAGCTATGGACCTCCGTGTCAAAAGGTTGCTACGGAGGGTAATCTATGGATCTCCGTGTCAATAGGTTGCTACGGAGGGTAATCTATGGACCTCCGTGTCAAAAGGTTGCTACGGAGGGTAATCTATGAACCATTGTGTCAAAAGGTTGCTACAGAGGGTAATCTATGGACCACCGTGTCAAAAGGTTGCTACGGAGGGTAATCTATGGACCTCCGTGTCAAAAGGTTGCTACGGAGGGTAAACTATGGACCTCCATGTCAAAAGGATGCTACGGAGGGTAAGCTATGGACCACCGTGTCAAAAGGTTGCTACAGAGGGTAATCTATGGACCACCGTGTCAAAAGGTTGCTACAGAGGGTTATCTATGGACCACTGTGTCAAAAGGTTGCTACGGAGGGTAATCTATGGACCACCGTGTCAAAAGGTTGCTATGGAGGGTAATCTATGGACCTCCGTGTCAAAAGGTTGCTACGGAGGGTAAGCTATGGACCTCCGTGTCAAAAGGTTGCTACGGAGGGTAAGACACGGACCTCTGTGTCAAAGAGTTGCTACGGAGGATAAGCTACGGTTCTCGGTGTCAAAAGGTTGCTACGGAGGGTAAGTTACGGACCTCCTTGTCAAGAGATTACCACGTATATACCTGTCTGAGGGTAAGCTATGGACCTGTGTCAAAAGGTTGCAAAGATATGGACCTTTGTTTCAAAAGGTTGCTATGTATATACCTGAGGGTAAGCTACAGACCTTGGTATACAAAGGTTGCTAATGTATATACCTGAGGGTAAGCTACAGACCTTGGTACACAAAGGTTGCTATGTATATACCTGAGGGTAAGCTACAGCCCTTGGTATACAAAGGTTGCTATGTATGTACCTGAGGGTAAGCTATAGACCTTGGTATAAAAAGGTTGCTATGTATATACCTGAGGGTAAGCTACAGACCTTGGTATACAAAGGTTGCTATGTATGTATACCTGAGGGTAAGCTACAGACCTTGGTATAAAAAGGTTGCTAGGTATATACCTGAGGGTAAGCTACAGACCTTGGTATACAAAGGTTGCTATGCATATACCTGCCTGATGGTAGGCTACAGATCTCTTTGTCAAAAGGTTCTACGTATTTATCTACCTGAGGGTAAGCAACGGAACTCGCTGTAAAGAGGATACCACGTATATACCTGCCTGAGAGTAAGCTACAGATCCCGCTGTAAAGAGGATACCACGTATATACCTGCCTGAGTAAGCTACAGATCTCTCTGTAAAGAGGATACCAAGTATATACCTGCCTGATGGTAAGCTACAGATCTCTCTGTAAAGAGGATACCACGTATATACCTGCCTGAGAGTAAGCTACAGATCTCGCTGTAAAGAGGATACCAAGTATATACCTGCCTGAGTAAGCTACAGATCCCGCTGTAAAGAGGATACCACGTATATACCTGCCTGAGTAAGCTACAGATCTCGCTGTAAAGAGGATACCAGGTATATACCTGCCTGAGAGTAAGCTACAGGCCTCAGTGTATAAGGTTGTTATGAACATACCTGCCTGAGAGTAAGCTACAGATCTCGCTGTAAAGAGGATACCACGTATATACCTGCCTGAGAGTAAGCTACAGGCCTCAGTGTATAAAGGTTGTTATGTATATACCTGCCTGAGAGTAAGCTACAGGCCTCAGTGTATAAGGTTGTTATGAACATACCTGCCCGTGGGTAAGCTCCAGAACCCAGGGTAAAGGGGTCACCGGACCACTTCGATCTTACCAATGTAGTCACATTATGCTGGGTCACCAAATCTTCTCCAAATAATTTCCCCAACACTTTGATAACTACAATACAAGCAAACACAAGTTTTCATTCATTTTGTAGCTAAAATGGGATGCTTCAGATAGAAAAAATATCAAAAAACCTAGAGCTTGTACATTTCAGACAAATGTCATTTTATTCTGACAAAATTAGGATTTTACAATCCTTTGACAGTCATTTATCTAATTTGCATTCAAATTCTTTGTCTTTGGCTATATTGGTAGTGTGTACCATTTGTCAAGGTTTATTTTACATGATTTGTTTTTTCAATATTCTGATATAATACAAAGAGATACAATGCTTTCAATTTTTTTTTTTTTTAAATGTACCATCATTTTTGTTTAGATTTTTTCCAATTTCTCATTGCAACATCATCACAGTTACTCTTAGTTACTATAGTTACAATACATCACCTTAGTTACTATAGTTACAATACATCACCTTAGTTTTTTCACCATTGAATGTATTGTTTACCTTTTTGTTTCAGTTCCTCTACAGGTGTTTGCTCCATCGCTTCGGCAGCTGTATCGTATAAATTACCGATGAGGTACGGAGCTCCGACGAGGTTCTGCATGTTGAACCATGTCTGGATGAAAGGCTCCTGTCCCTCCGGTGTAGTCATGGTAAACACTCCGACATCAGTCGGCCAGAACGCCTCAGAGAATCCTACGATCACTTTTTGGGATTGGTACACACCTACAAATGTATATCAATTATATTTTGTCAAACCATGCACTGTCAACAGGAACAATTGTAGGGACGGTAGTCTAGTGGTAGGACTCTGGGCTCGTGACCGAAAAATTGCAGGTTCCAGTCACGTCACGGCATGGTGTTGTATCTTTGAACAAGATACTTTACTCCATTTGCTCCAGTCTACTCAGCTGTAAATGAGTATGTGGTTGGGCAGTGCTAGAATTGTTGAATGCTAGCTGTGAGCGCCGAAATGGCAGCACCGGGGAGTTGAGAAGATATTGGCTGGTTGCAAAGGCCTTATAACCACAGCTAATAAATTTTGAACTGCTTTGAGACGATCTACAAACTAGGTTGTGATAAAAATTATTATTATTATCATTAATTAACAGAATGTGACTCACAGTATAAGTACTGTTGTTCCAATTAATCAATTCAATAGATGATTAATGGTCTTACCTCTGACTAAGACTAACCAACTGTAGATTTCTCTAATTGATCATGGTTTGACTATAACGTGAAAATTTGTTATTGAGATTCGGAGCAGAAGTGAAAACTGATTAAAAATTAGTTTTACCAAAAACTGCAATCAAACAACATTTCTGCCTATAGCTAAGCAGTTAATAAGTACCCACGACATCTGATCTCTTTTAGTGAATACTTAACTATTTATTTTGGTTTCATTTTAAGATCAATCCACGATCAATCATCGATCGTTTGAGAAATAGTGATTATTGTGACGCTAACACTAAGTATAGGTAAATATAAGTATAGGTAAATATATGTCTTATTCTACTAATAAACTAATATTTATTTGAAAAACTTCAATTTATAAAAAGGAGAATACTTGACCAAATTTAAAGATGTTTTTATCACATAATGTACTGTGTTATCAAGTGAATATACCCATGCCATATTTTTTTCCATATTAACACATGTATCATGACCTATCAGCCCTGTGATTGGTTGTAAGTTTCAATTGTTTAAACGTCACGCCTAGGACAAGTACATGACGTCACAGACTTACGCACTGGTAAACTCAAAATGGTGTTTTTTTTACTTTTCAAGGTTGCATGAAAATTGTCGGTTGATACGAATAAATGCCACAAATTTTGATTATGTGATAAAAAGGATCTTACACTCGTTTTCATTTTATATGAAGTTTATGAAACTCGTCACAAATTTTTCATTTTCGCTCGCCAGAGGCTCGCTAAATTGAAAAATTCTAAGATTCGTTTCATTAATCTCATATGAAATGTAAGATCCTATATATCTAAGACAGCAATAATATTCACAGAAAGGTTTCAATGGCATGGCCAACCCATGAGACATCCCTGACAAGGTAAAACATCGAAGACAAAGGAAGATAACTCCAACAAGAGTAAAATGAAGACTCAGTAACCATTATCATCTGGGTTTCAGGTTTTACTGCATAAAAAACAATTATGAATTAAAACATAAAACAGGAATGAGTCGGGAGTAATTTTTACGACATTGAATTGTAAACAATTACTACAAAAATTCTATCATTACCTAATTCTTTTATTGCCCTATACCATTCTTTAGGAAGCAGGGGTTCAAACAGAATAGCCTCATTTCTCAGCACACCGATTGGAACAGTCACTATCACAACGTCCGCAGTCACCTGTTTCAGGTCCTTTGTCCTGACAATGACCTTTTTCTCGTCCGAGTCGACGTGAATCTGTCTGACGATTTGGTTAAGGTTGATAGACAGAGGTCTCTCAGGTCCTAGACCTGACACAATGCTGTGGAGAGAAATAGAATCTTAAAATCCTTGTTTTGATGTACATTAAACCGTGCTGAGGAGGAGAAATAGATTCTTGCACCTGTGTAATTGCAGGGATTTTTTCAACCTAAATTTTACAACAGCCTATTCCTACATGATTTGGGGAAATATAGCATAATTTTTATTGTAATTTTTCTTTGTTTTGGGACAATACAGATTATTTTCGCCAGGGAAAGCAGCCTGTATTTGGCTGTAAAACTAGGCAAAAAAATCACTGAATTATCACTTTACAAGGAAAGACAAACGGAACCTTGTTCATCATGTCAATGTTGCTGTTGGTAAATCATAGCCTCTATAACCCTAGTAAGTCTATTAAAGGACAAGAATTACCGACAAAATACATTTGACTGTTTAATTTAAAAAAGCTATTTTATTATACTGAATGGAGGTAAATCCTTAAAATCCTTCTCTTTTCGTACAAATGGAAAAAAAACCACCAAAATTAGTCTAGAGCGTTATTGGGCCAAAAGGATTCAATTATGTATAAATGGAGGATGTTGCCCCCCACCCCCCACCCTTGGGCAGAGGGGCAGGGACAAGTAGGGGAAATAGAGGTAAATCTTTAATATCTTTCTCCTGTGTGGATGAAGGGGTTAGAATTGACTTTGATACAGCATTTTTTGGCCAAGGAGACTCATCTTTGTGTGAATTGATGATGTGGCCCATTAAAGGTAGAAATGGGGCCCAATCAGAGAAACTGTCATAACTTGAAAATGGTTTAGATCCCCACCCTAAATCCATATATTCCTTGCCTCATACCTTACTAATACACTACTTACTCCCAAGGTCATAACATAGAAACAGTTGAAATTTCCACTACATTTTCTATAACCATATATACATATATATATATATAATGCCGAGGCAATACTTGATACTCCAGGGGTTACGCTCGCTTTCGTTCTCTTCACCCATAAAAAAAATGAAAAATCTTACGCGTCTAGAACTTGATCGTATCCGTCCACCACGATTGTGTTCCAGCCGAATTGTTTCACCGGGTCAAAGAACATGGCAGAGTAGTCTGCCTTGGTAACGGCGTGATGATTGCGTAGAATGTTCGTAATGATGGTTTGATCGCCTTGGAACTTGTGTCGTTTTATCTCATCCTCGACGGCCTTCTGTAGAGAAACGTCTGTACCATTGGCTTTTACTGTATCTACTGCAGACTGCATTATCTGTGTAACAGACATCACAGATCAGGCAAGATGTTCCAGGAAGCTACTGAACAAAAGCTCAGTTTTTAGATTTTGCTGAAAATTCCTACTTTGACATTTGTACAGGCCCTTAAGAACTTTAAACTATGGGTCAACTCGAGCCTTGGAAGGTGTCTATATTTAGCTATTTTAGGAAACATGGCAACTAAACAACTAATGAATTTGCTGGCCCTGAACATTTTTCACTTTGGCAGTGTGTGAATTTAGCCCCTTAACCCTGGATACGAATTTACCAGGCAGACAAATGCAAATAGTCTAAAGAAATCATCCTTTCGTAAAATAGTGAACATTTATGCACCACAGAATCAACACAAGAAAGACCAAATCAAAACTCAAAGTTGATACACAAAGACATCAACAGGAACTTTGGGGATTTATCCAATATTATGTGTTATCTGGAAAATGTCTTACTGAGAAAACTTCGGAGAATATCTTGTTAGCTTCGTCACTCTTGAATATCTTGTCAGCCTCTGGAACATGGAGCTGGATGGGCCCTGAGACTTTAGTTTCTAGCTCTGCCTTCCTTACTATGGCTGAGATAGGGTTATCCTTTATCTTAGGATTGATCCAGGCACATCCAAGGTCTGTCTCTGCACCTGGAACGAAACAACATATTGAGTTTATATTATATACAGATAAAACTCATTAACTCATTCACCCCTGAAGACAAATTTGAGCTCTTCCAATTCAAAGGTTGGAATAGTTCATTATGAAATTTCAGGGGTGAATGAGTTAACCTGAACAATTCTGATCAGTTCCAACAAATAAGGTTACGATCAAGGAAGTGATAAACACACATAGCAAAAACGACAAATGTATCTATCATCTATTCCGCACTATGGAGCAGAATGGGTAAACCTAATACCCGTCCCCCTGACAGCTGGCTTTACTGATTCAGGACACCGTGGTATAGTGGGCTTGTTTCAGAGGTTTAGAGTTGAGACGCTGGTCATTTACCCACTTTGCTTGACACAGGAAACAGACATTTTCGAAAGCTTGCAAAATGAGTTTTCAATTCCTGTTTGTGTTCAAAATAAACTTAGCCTTTATTATTCATACCAAACAGCTGTATCTTATTTCAGAAAAATATATTATATATGTTTAATTACCAATAGGTTTCTTAAAGAGTTTCCTGTTTGTCCATACACGGCCTCCATATCGATCTGTCCGGGCTTCTAGCACCGTAACGTCATAGAGTTGGGAAGGATGGTTGTCCAACTTTCTGGCTGCAGCCAGACCTGATATCCCCCCACCAATCACAAGTACTTCCTTCGTCTGATAAGGAACTTCTGATTTACAAACTTCACTATTGAACATAAGCAGCAGCAGCAGACTCATCCATGTGCTCTCCATATCTGAAAAGTGAAAGTAAGAAAAACAGATGTCATCTGGAAATTAGTACACAAATCATGTAAACAAATGTATCAGTGGGGTGGCAAATCATTTTTCAGAGTGTATTCTTACATAGCTGGAAAACTTCTACTAGGACCTAGAAGCAATCTCCCGTGTTCTGGGAACTCGTTTAAGTCTGTTTATTAACAAGTTAAAGATTTACTTGCTAATTTTAAGACTAAAAGGCACTTAAAACAATTATCTGAGGATAACACGCTATAATATGTTCCGCTGGACTAAAATTTTCAAGAGATTTTATTATTTCTCTCCCTTTTTATGATTGATACGGACAGTCCGTACTAATCATAGAAAATAAAGAAATTAATAAAAAAAATATGATTGAAATAAATCTTCTTAAAATTTTAGTGTATGTTTAAGCATACAAGCATACATGTATGCTACGCCTCTGACTATATACAATATTAATGACATATTGTAATTCTAGAAGAGATTCTACTGGATACTGGATGTGTCAATTGTCAACACATGCACTCCTAGCATATTGATTTGTACAAATGAGAATATATATCAAATGGGCCCAGTAGTACTGTGGCTGCTGTAAATAATGACCAGTCCAACTCAATTTCGATTTAAAAGTAAAATCTGCTTCAGCAGTATATCTCAATTAACTGTGTGATATTTTGTTTTGTAAACTTTGTGTACTAAATTATAATCATATTCAATATATACCAAAAATACTCTTCCAAATTCAAGTCAAAACAGAGTTCCATGCTTAGTAATGATTTTGTACTTTATTGCATTAATTTAGTTGAATAGGATTTTGCTGTGAAAAATGCCACAAATAAAACCTCCCTTATTTTAACTTCATGATGATCAATTCCCTTCAAATGATTTTAAAACTCACAGATTGGTCTCCAAGAATTTGGGCATGTATGCGCCAAGGAATATATATGTAACACAGGCTAACAAATCACCCTGCGCTTTAGATTCTTTTGTATCGGTTTAATATCTACAAAGACCTACAAATACATAATACACAACATGAACACTTATAAACGTTACATAACTCACACACAATGACTGATTCACTGGTGCAGATTACATTTAACATAAGAAACAAGAGTACTGCGGAGCGGAACAATATACGCTCGTCGAATGCCATATAGTGTTATATACTTTCTTAAATTTAACTAAGATCTGAATCATTCTAAGAGTGGTTAGCTGACATGCTGTAAAAAATGTAGGAGAAAATCTATGGACAAAAAATAAAATACTGAAATGAACAAAGGGCAAGAATGTTTGCAAAAATTTTCGAATCAAAATTCGTTTTAGGGAGACACAACTTCATATCATGATTATAATGTATACCAAGTTTCAAAGAGATCTGTTGAAAAATGTAGGAGATTGCCAGACAAACAAAAGTTTACGCCGGATGGACAACCCCATACCACAATACTTCCGTCAAATTTGACGGGCGTATAAAAAGTATACATGTTTCTGCATTCACACTGACTTAACAGGGAATGAACGATGAACAGTGATAGTGGTATGGCGATAAGCCGATGCGTTACCTTGGAAAGCTGGCATTGGAATGATAGGAGGAATGTTCATGCAGGGAATAACAGGCGCTAAGCATGAACACACACTCACCCATTCACCCAGTAAGATAAGTTCTTTCACATACATATGTTTGACGCAATATGCAAGCACGGAAACTTACCTGTCTGGAGTTAGTCAACCCTGACTAATGTATACTAAATTACAAAGGGCTACATATACATCACAGAATTAGATTGCTATCTAAGTCTGTGATATATATATATTAAAAGATATGCTTTGATCAATATTATATTGTCCGTCTTCTGTAATAAATCGCTGTACTACATTATAAAATTATAAAATTATATGAGGGTACCCAAATTGGAATGGTATGCACAATCAGAAACGTATAAGGCAAATATCAGGTTGGGGAAAACCACCAACTTGTGTAAACATATAATACGCAAACTCGCCTACTATACGCCAGTTGGAGTATGGATTTGTCACTAAAAATAACCCAAATCGCTTCAAAAGTAACTTTTGCACGATATTATTAAAAATTGCATTAATTTAGGACAAGGTAAATAATATTATGCTAAAAGATGTTTACTGAAAGCGTTGGCTACTTAGAAACTTGATGTAACTTTACCGGAAGTATTGCATCTATTTATGGTACTTTCCCACATGCAAATAAAGTTTATTTTTGCATTTGTGATATATTTCATGACTAAATAAATGCGACTTGGACAAACAATTTGAAAAAGTTAAGATTAAAGTTGTTTTGGCTATTTTAAGTAACAAATCCATACACCTATTGGCGTATAATAGGCGTGTTTGCGTATTATACGCAAGTTAGTGGTTTTCACTGACCTGTATATGTCTCTATCAAAATGGAACACTTTCTACATTTATTTTGCAGATTTTGTTTATAATCTACTCTAAATCAACATTTATATAGTTTTAAGCAATTGGAGCAAATTGATCAGCCCACCTCATCACTGTTGCTAATTAGCTCAATTGAAAAGTTAAACAAAATGATAAATACATAATTAATACACAAGAATTGAAGAAATATGAAACATAAAATGAAGAGTGAAATAATTATAAGGATCCCTGTTATTACACATTTTTGTTGTTGTTTGACAATTTCACAATTATTACACAATCAAACCCATTGCAATTGTAGTGACCTGGATCTTTTATAAAAAAAAAAGCTTATTACTTTAAACTGCTCAGTCGTAAAATTCAGGATGAGGAAACAGCTTTTATCTATTTTATACTACCCGCGTCATCTGAGTTATCATTTCTGCAATTACGGAAACCCGTCCCATAAAACACGCACATGATCTAGATTTCAAAGTGAAAGCGGAAGCGTAAAAAGTCACATGATTTGTTATAATTTGCAAGATGGCGTCGCCTGTTCCACCCCCACCAGACTTAGGGATTTCGGAGCAGGGAGCAGCGGTTACGGTACAAAAATATATTCGAATTCATCATAGATATGTCATTTATACGAATGACGACCCATGAATGTATTTAATGTCATCGTGATATGTTTATTCTGATGACTATAAAAATGTCTTAATTTTGACAGGTGGTGGGGGCTCTGTATTAGAGGCATAGAGATAATTTGAATGCCACCTCGAACTTTCCATATCAGGTTTTACTGATTTAACACTCCATTTCAAAGTGTGGATTTTTGCAAAATACCTTTAAAGCGTTTTACATTAAAATGTTAAACATGATCAATTAAAAAATCAACAACAATATTCGTGTCAAAGACAAAATCACGACTTTATTATTTTTTTACTCTGTATTAAGTACAACGGAATCTTACGTTAAAAAAGTTGTGTAGGTTCGTGATTGTAAATAATTAAAAAAAAACACCTCAGAAAATAAGACAAATTATAACTAACTTTGTTTGATATGACATTCTCTCGAAAACACGAATAAAAGATGGTATGCTTCACTGTGATTCTTTTTTTATTTCACAAATATTTTTTCAAATGTAAAGGACTTTGACTGGGGTTTTTGGTCACAGGACATGTAAAAGAAATATTTTATTAGCGAGAAGTTGTAAATTAGAATTAAAATTGGCTCTTCAGAAAAACAAAAAGTTCACAAATAATGTCATCTTATGCACATCATTCAGCTTTATGCATATGCAATTTAAGAAAAAGGTATTCCTCTCATGACACATTAGCTGTATTATACATTCACCAATCAGACATTGAATTTTAAGATTTATATTAAAATTCTTTATGCATTGGTATTTTGCAAGGTAAAGTTATAAACATTTTTATGTTGAATTTATGATACTGTATACCTAAACTGATGTTTGGAGAGTTAAAATTAAATGTGTTTACATTCTGATAGGGTAATGAGACTGTGGGGGGCCTGAGGTCATGGGAGCGGGCCTGGGCTGTAGATGAGATGAGGAAGGAGGCTGGGAACTGGTCCCTCGCTGCTGATGCTGGGGTAGGTATCATGACTTGAGAATTAGAGAAAAAAATAACAAAGTTTACTAGAATGCTTCGTTGCTTGAAATTCAGAAAGGAGGCTTTTCTCAAAATACACAGTAAAATCCCTTAAAAGAGGAGGAAAACAGTTCTAATTACTGATGTGTTCTTTCTGTCTTTACTCTTTATTTGTGTAATATTGTTTTTAATAATTGCATGTGTTTAATAATATATGTGAAATGTGTATTGTAATTTGTTGTTTGTATTGTGTAGAAAGTTGTATGTAATGTTGATAATTCATGAACATTATATTTGTTATGGTGAATGTGTATGTAATGCCTTGTACATGTACATATGTATAAGTTATGTACTGTTGTGTGAATATGTAAATAATGTATATTGTATGTTAGATAGTTTGTTTCAAGTGTGTATTGTGTGATTTTGTGTGGTAATGTTGTGAGCAATATTATAATGTGATGTAGTAATTTTTTATATGGGGGAGAAAGAATATCTCCTGTAACCGGGTATAGATTATAGACCTCCACAATTCTGAAATTTTGATCAAGTAATGTAGACTGCATTTGTTTAATTATTTCAGCTTCTGCTGCACCTACAAGAGTTTTCCCAGAGGATGATATTGAAGGTCCACGAGATTGAAAAGGGAGTAGACGGACTGCTGAATGACTCGAAGGTAAATAGTGGTGTAGGATATGGAAAATATTAATTAATCTGGGTTTATTGCCTTTGTCTCGCAGTTTTGATAAAACTAACCCTTTCAACACTGTAGACCAATATGGACTCGTCCAGACCAATGTATGGTAGAGTCTACTGAAGTTACATTGGGGTGAAAGGATTAATGAATAACCTCCTTTTGTTATCTTTTTTTGCATATATGTGTTGAACAGTTGCATACTATACTCTACCTTATTCAAGCTCACTATGAGATTAAAAATAAATGCATGTAGGGAGCAAATAAAAAAGGTATGGGGTCACCTGTCTGACCAAGCAAGGAATTTACAACAGATCGAAATGAGAGTAGGGAGACTTTTTTATTGATACTGATCATTTATATAAATCTCTGTTCTAGCTGACTTCATTGATTGTTTTTGGGACTGCTTTTCATGTGGGACTCGCCCACATGTAGTAAACACACTTGATCTCCTAGCCTGAAATGATCCTACAAAAAGTAAAAAATGTCTTACATGATTTTATTATGCTGTTATCACAAACATAAAACATTACTTTCTTTTCCAGTTGACCTCAGTAAAAGTGAACAATGTCTTCAATGATTTTATCATGCTGGCCAATACACAGTTTGTGGAGAACGTATGTATCCTTGATGACTTTTGTTGTAAAATTGAGTTAGATGTGATGTGAATTATTATTGAGAATTCAGTATTCAAAAATTGTTTTAACCTTACATGATTTAAACTTATGAAGGTGTTTTTTTTTTTATTTTCAAAATGCAAGTATAACCCGGTAATTGAAATACAAAAAAATAATGAAAAAAAGAAAGAAAAATATTTATAAAATTGTTTCTATATCTACTGTTAATCATTTTCAAATCAGTTAAATACAATATCGATTATACTTTTTTTCTTAACTTGTTCTTATATGCCTTCTAGGTTTAAATCAGTATAACATACTGTCTCAGTTACTTCCTGGTATAATTTGGTTGTTATCTCCCTTTGAAGCGCGTCTACGATGAAGATGTTAGTCAGGAAGGAGCAGCTAAAGAGGAAACCAAACCAGAGGAACAGGTACCATATTATTGTACCTTTAACACTAGAGAGCTCCACTATTGTATCTAGTTGAACAGTTTTTGTTTTGGAGAAATAAATGTTAAAGAAAAATGCAAAATTATAAATACATATACATGTATATGTTATTTCTAAAATTTATTGCGACTTATGTTTAACCCTTTTACCACTGTAGACCATAATTGACACATCCATATCAATGCATGGTAGAGTCTACCTAAGTTACATAGGGGTGAAAGGGTTAACTCCTTGCTGATTGGTTGACAAGTACAAAATGTGTATTGCAATACTTGGTAATGAAGGTGGGAAAAATGATATGCAATGTTATGGAATGATGTACCGTGAGTGAAGTGAAGCTATTCTATTTTCACAGGAGAAGACTCGAGAACAAAGGGAAGCCGAACTAATTCCCAAGGTCAAAGAGGCATTAACCTTAGGCATCAATGTGATCGATGAGGCGTTTGAGAAACTTGACAGCCATGTTGCTGACTCCGACTCTGAGGACGATGATGAAACAGGATATAGAGTTGACCCCATCTTAGAACCTAAGGTCAGAAGTCAAAGTTTGACACTGCAGAACATAATACTATATATTATATAATGTTCGGATATAATTTGTATGGATAACAAATTTAAAACTTGAAGGATCTATCCTACAGTGACCGTCTTAAGAAATTACGTATCTCAACACTGACATACTTAAGAATGAGGGGAGATGTAATTAACGTCTATAAAATTTTGAACAATTTTTATGACAACAAAGTTACTGCTGGCATCTTTGATCAAGATTCAACATCTAGAACAGGAGGCATACACAAAAAATATAGAAGGAAACATTGTAGGATATTAGGAAACATTCCTTTGGCTACAGAACTGTTGATCTATGGAACAGTCTTCCCGAGGCGGCCATAGGCTACAACAATTATAGGCTTTGAAATTAGTTTGAACAATCATTAGAAACATCTTGAACTGAAATTTTATCACCTAGCTAGGTAAAAATCTAACAAGGGAGTAATTTGTAAATTAAAATTGTAATATTACATGATATGGACATAGAGGCAAGTAATTATCTGCGTCCATCATCTATCCTACTAAAAACTTAATGAAAATAACTGCAGTGCTGTTGGTATTTAGTTACCTGTCATGATATAGGTGACTGGGAACCACAGGCTCTCTGCTGTGAAAAATAAAATTACATCTTGAGTTGATGTTGTTCCTTGTGACAGGACCCGTACCTCAGCAGACCCCTTCCCCTCCTGATAGGTACACCTAACTTCCTCAACGACGACAACGTTGGATTGCTGGAAGAGGAATCAGGTTTGTAGAATTTCTTTGTATTTACCAATGTTTTTACCAACGGTTGGTTGTAAAAGCTTACGCTGAAGTTTATGTGATCATGTTTTTTGGAAAGTTACCTAAATGCTTTATCTTGCTGTGACAGCCACCTCCTTTTCAAAAGAGTTTAATGCTAAAACAAAATGTTAAACAAATTTTATAAATGGTAAATTTGAGTTGATTAATTGTGGTAATTGATGAAACTGGATGGTAAATTGGAGTTGATTAATTAGGGTTATAGGTGAAACTGGAATGCATGCATTTATAATGTGCACACAATTTTGATTTTCTTAACAACAGATGTACTATTGAAAAATTATAAGGGATAAAAGTCTAGCACACACCACAGGTATGCATAATGTGAAAGGATCAAGAATCACAGCTGTAATGTGTAAGGTAGCATATATCTTTAATTCTATCACAAAGCAGAGGTATTATGTTTGTAAAAGTGAAATTTTAAAATACACAATGTGTAAGGTAGGTAACTCTAATATATAAATCACATGAATATATACTGTTTAGTCTACATGGTGGTTTGTATGGCTATGGTTGCAAAAATGTTTGATGTTGAAGAATGTGATTTCTTTATTTAAGATAATATAGGCAGATATTAAATTCTGATAATTTAATACAAAATACTGAAATGCAATGATATGACCTTGACCCTGATTGGCGTTTGACAGAGGAGGAGGAGAGTGACCATGGCAGTATAAGTGAGAGTGAATCAGAAGACGAGAAGAAGCAGGAGACGTCGGATGAGGTGAGAAAAGAATTATCAATACATATTTATATAGTTTACTATTTAGTACATTATCGATTGTCCTGTAAACATTTAATTTTGCATTTTGTAGATAGACATATGTTTGCCTAATTCATTATTTTGCATGAAAATCTACTGTTTATCCAATTGTTTTCTCAATTTTTGAGATTGTGAATAAAATGTTTGACCAATTTTCATAGTAATTACACCATTTAATTGTAATATTGGGGTTATCCTGTAAGAAAATAGAGTTTTATCTAAATTGAATATGAAAATATGTCATTATTTACAACTCTACTAACAAATACTTGCCAAAAAGCTATTTCCCTTGTACGTTACTATTATTCTCTTTATTTCCTCCTTTAAGAAGATTTTACAAACAGAATAATGTAGTTACAATGATAAATTAGATAATAAATGCAAAATCAAATCAAATGGACGATAAGGCAAAATTAGTGCACAAGACTATTAGCTAACACAATAGGAATAGGTTAATCAATTGGAGTACAGTTTACAAAAGAATACATAATTAATAATATTTAAGGATGAAAGTAATATACTTTCTTTTGGACATAACTGTGTTTTTCATTAAATGATATAAGTATTGAATAATTATTATTGTTGATATCTTGTGCTTGAGTTAACTAGTCCTACACAGTGTGGAGTTTAACCCTTTCAACCCTATGTAACTTTAGTAGACCCTACCATGCATTGATCTGGATGAGTCCATTACGGTCTACAATGGTGAAAGGGTAACTAGGTTTGTTCATCTTTTCCTGGGACCACATAAGTAGTAAGCCTAAAGTAAGAATTATGAAAGTCATTGATTGAATATTACTATCCCAATCTGAAAAATTGAGACAAAATAAAGAGGATCCACTTTAAGTAGTTTTGTAGCAGAATTTTATTTAAAAACTTAAGTAGTTCGGCCTTGTTTATTTATGTATATTCCCTTCAAGTGTAATCATGTTATAAGTATAAAGGATAGCTAGACTTAAGTATAATTATACGATGTACTTATAGTAACCTATCAACCATACGGCTAAGGTCATAATAACATAAAGGAAAATAACTGGTAAGATATCTTAAATCACTGCAATTTGTATTTATTTTGATGCATGTAGTGATTGTATTAAGATGTTTGTATATTTTATGCATTTATATGTTTGTTAAAGTCAATTGTGCTGTTTGATTAGCATTATAAAGTAAAGATGAAACAGTACATAATATCAGCGTCACCATATGTTACCAATATTCTCAACTTGTATCAAATGAAGCAAAACAAAAAAAATGTTTGCCCTCTATAATGTTTGCCCTCCTCTGTAATGTTTTCCCTGTTTGCCCTCTATAATGTTTGCCCTCCTCTATAATGTTTGCCATCTATAATGTTTGCCCTTTAAAATGTTTGCCCTCTATAATGTTTGCCCTCAATAGTGTTTGCCCTCTATAATGTTTGCCCTCTATAATGTTTGCCCTCTATAATGTTTGCCCTCTATAATGTTTACCCTCCTCTATAATGTTTACCCTCCTCTATAATGTTTGCCCTCCTCTATAATGTTTGCCCTCTATAATGTTTGTCCTTATAATGTTTGCCCTTTATAATGTTTGCCCTCTATAAGCTATATTTTAACTTTGACCTTGTTGCCCTCTGTAAATTATATTTTAACTTTTACCTTATTGCCCTCTATAATGTTTGCCCTCGATAATGTTTGCCCTCCTCTATAATGTTTGCCCTCTATAATGTTTGTCTGTTTTAATGTTTGCCCTTTATAATGTTTGCCCTTTATAATGTTTGCCCTCTATAAGCTATATTCTAACTTTGACCTTGTTGCGCTCTATAAGTTATATTTTAACTTTTACCCTATTGCCCTCTATAATGTTTGCCCTCCTCTTTAATTTTTGCCCTCTATAATGTTTGCCCTCTATAATGAGGGCATATTTCAGACTGATAAATGTTGTCCCAGTTGGTTTTGTACTTAGAATATCCAAGGTGATAAGTTTATGGTAGAATATCCAAGGTGATAAGTTTATGGTGTCCAATGGAGATGGAGCCAATCAAATGTACTTCCTAGTTGCTACAAAGCTACTTTCAGTTTAATTATTTAGCCTACTTTCAGTTTATTCATTTAGCTTACTTTCAGTTTAATTGTTTAGCTTGCTTTCAGTTTAATTATTTAGCCTACTTTCAGTTTATTCATTTAGCCTACTTTCAGTTTAATTGTTTAGCTTACTTTCAATTTAATTAATTCGCCTACTTTCAGTTTAATTATTTAGCCTACTTTCAGTTTATTCATTTAGCTTACTTTCAGTTTTATTGTTTAGTTTACTTTCAGTTTAACTATTTAGCCTACTTTCAGTTTAATAATTTAGCTTACTTTCAGTTTAATTATTTAGCTTACTTTCAGTATGATTATTTAGCACACTTTCAGTTTAGCATGCTTTTCTTTACACTTTTGTATTGTGTTCTATATATAGTACTCGTATAGCGACAGTGACAGTGACTCTGACGCACCGAAATCGAAACCTGCACCCAGAAAAATTGCACGAGGGAGTTCTGACGAGGTGGGTTAGATTACTTCATCTGTCATCACTCGATGTTGATAATTGATATATTTTGAAAGATGGATTACAATGAGTATTGCCATGTATGACACTTACTAACCGAGCTCCTTGCACAATTTTGATGCTCGGTCAAATTTGTGAATATTTAATGAGATTGCTTTGACCTGATCAAAAAGGTATCAGCACATATATTACATTTTAATCCTTCATCATATGTTATTTGCAATCAGACATCAGTCACAGACACAGGCGACACATTTACTTCCGTGTAATTATTGTTCAACTTCAATTGTATGTTTAACTACATCGGGTTAACACATTGGGTTAGAGAATTTTTCAAATGTAGATAAATATTTAAGGATTAACTTGAATATATTTTTCATGTTATGGAGCTATAACACAAATATATTCAAGTTAATCCTTATATTTTAATCTACTTTACACAATCCCTGTGGAAATCCACTTTTATTGATGGACTCTTTTCTCTTAGAAATTATTGCGCTGCTGTATCAGCCAATCAAAAGCAACGTTACAAACGGCGACGTCATTTTTTTACGTTATGGGCTGATAACATATTGTTTTAAGTCAATGAAAATGCTTGTTACAAGCAAGATTAAATTATACATATTTATCATTGATTTATTCAATGTTTCAATAACAAGTTTTGATAAACCTTTTTGTAAACTGAAAATGAAAGTCATTTCTTTATTAATTTGAAGCTTTGCTTTTCACTTTCCTAATGAAAATTACTTTTAAATATTCAAACAATATTATCATGCTTCAATAATTAGAAAATTAATAAGTTATTCTAGTATTTAGAAAAATGTTCATTATCCATGAATATAAATAAGCAACTTTAGGAAAAAGTTATATTCAAATTTTGAAATACTCTCAGCAGGTTTAGGTACATCGTTCTATATTTTTTTGTATTTATGTAATTTAAGAAAAAGTTAAACTACAAAAATTGGCATTATTATAATATTTTGCCAAAGTTCTTTATATGTATACTTTACAAGAAGATATTATCACGGTACATTTTTGAGGTACTTGGTAAGTTCAAAGCTGTTAAAAATGATTATAAGAACGGAAAATAATAACAATTCATATTTTGTTTTACAGAGTGGTGACAGTGACGATGACCTGTTTGGGGGAAAAGGAAAGGACAGCGATGATCAGGAAGATGATGAGACTGATGATGAAGATGAAGATGAAATTGCAAGAGAAAAAGAAACACAGGTAGGACTTATGTCCAGCCTTCCTAACCATAGAAAAATCTGTAAATAGTTTTAAGACAAAAAAAATTGGAAGCTTAGCAAAACAATATATGTATAATGGAAGATTAATGTATTAATGTAGATTGATTTGATTTCTCGTCTTGCTCAAGCATAAATTTCCTAATGATAATTTATTGATACAAATCCACTCCAATAGTCTGAAGTTTTTAACAATGTTTGAAACCTAGTACACTGATGGTTGTCGGTTCAACTTCTGACATCGCTGTGACTTACTGTATACTAGATAAGTCTTCATGACAGTGTTATTTTCGCACCTTTCGCAGAATGATTCAACCGCAAATTCAACAATGCAGCAAAAATGTCCAGCTCAAGGAAATATCTTATTAAGATCTAGTACGAGACTAAGACAAAGACTACTGATTTAAAATATTGGAGCATTGTTGCTCTGACACATACATACTCAAACTGAAGTGGGGGGNGGAGTTCAAGGCCTAGGTGGGGCAGTCGCCAGGCACTGGCCTTAGGTCAATGGTTTTTCTCCGGGTTATCTGGCTTTAATTTCCTCCACCTCCAAAACCTGGCACGTCCTTAAATGGCCATAACTGTTGATAAAACGTAAAACACAAACAAACCAAACAAACTGAAGAGCCTACAAATATGTGTATAAACCAAGTAGTTGGATAAATAGGCTCAGGTCACTTCTTCGAGCCAGTTTCATTAAATAAAGACACAAAGGACCTACATTGTAACTGTTTCCCGCGAATTCTTTAAGAAATTGCGAAATATGGCATGGTGTCATGTGGTAGGTATTTATTTTCACACAGCAACCCTGGGTAAAGTTGTCATTTGTCTTTTGCCATTCATTGTTATGTTTGTATGTGACACAATACAGCAGCTGTCAGGGTTCTTAAAAACAAAACACAAAGTATGATTTCTTTTCAAACTCTAGCCAAAAGGACCAACCGACTTTGCATCAGAACTGGCTAAAAAGATTGGTGTTCCTGCCAAGAAGCCGCCACCAGAGAGTGATGAGGATGGTGATGACGAGTTTGTAGATGACCCGAAACCAAAGACGAAAGGTGAGATTTATCTCCTTCCTGAAACTACAGTGTTTTTTTTTATTCTGGGAAGAAGGGATCGAGGTATACAAAATCTTTATTTGGAGGAGGAGAGTAAGAGCATTTCAAAATTTTGAGGAAAAGAAAGGGTTGAACATGCTAAGTACAGATTTGTGAAGTTTCCTATTAAGAGGATCTTAAATGATGCAATTGAGAATGAAGTTGATTGTGGATTTTGTATTGGCTTTATGGCTTTATAGTAACTGTTGCTTAAGATTTCATATCAAACAAATAAGGAATTAATGATAATAAAAAAATCAGGTTAGGTTTAATAACTCAATTACAGAGACTGTTATAGGGTTTTTGTTTTTTCAATTACAGGGAAAGAAAAGAAGAGGACAGATTCAGAAAGCAGTCATAAGAAATCCAAAAAAGGAAAGGACAAATCATCGTCAAAGACGAAAGTCCCAGACGATGGTAAACAGTTAATATGGTTTCATCCTATCATACTAATGTAATATTTGTATCTGAATCATACATTTTAGCCTACTGTCATCAGATAGTGGGCTGATCGAATCGCCCTTTTACCCACGGCCTATCGTCTTTCCATCCGTCGATACATCCTTAAACAATTCTTGTTACATGTATTGCTATTGCTCAAATAGTAATGGACAAATCTTTCTCAAATTTCATATGAAGGTCCCCCTTGGTTCATAGTTGTACATGTTCCATTTTGGGATTGACGGAAAAAAATACATATGGCAGCAAACAGCAGTCTTAGTTTTTGAGAGTCAAAGTTTGTTGTTGGTATTTCTCATAGAACTAATGAAGATCTATTGATAGTGGGCATCAAGATCCCCCTGGGATCTCTTGTTTATATTGTATTCAAGTTTCAGTATACTGCAATACCTATGTATTCATCCTCATGTATACCGCCAAACTCAACACATATATGTTACCATAATTCTGTATACTATCATTTGTTTGCAATATTCTGTATGCTATCATAGCTATGTAAGATTTCTATATACAGCTACCGTTATGTATTCATACCTTGTATTACTTTTAGTAACAGAAATGATTTGATGGACTAGTACCTAACATAACCTATGATTTTACTTCTGTAGATGTGGACCTGTTTGGAGCCCCTGAAGAGGAAGACTCCCCGTTTGGTACCTCTGGTGGACTGTTCTCCGCCAGTAAGAGTATGTTTGACGATGACAGTGATGAGGTAAATAAATCTCCCCATTATTGTCAAACAAATTTACTTATAAATCATACATTTTCATGTTAATTTGTAGCAATTGTAAATCTTGAATTCAAGTATTTCCTGGGACACCAAATAATACATATATGTATCACAATTCATCTAACTATGACATAACCTAAATTTGATGGAGGTGTGCTCCTTGGTCCATCCCATGTAGACGGCATACACTTTCACAGTTCTCAGTGTTTACTGATACCAAGATTGTTTATCTGATATCTGATAGACAAATTGAATTCACTCTGGACAATCTGGAACTTAGATAGATGTCATTTTCATCTTTATGTAATCTTCTAAGAGTATAAAGTAGGAGGTGAAATGTGTAGCTTCCTTCCACTATCAATGAACACTTTCGCTATGACTAACAACAATGACGTGTGATTAACAAGATATGGCCGTATATTTGTGCCTCTTATCAAGTTTCCCGACACTGTGTATACATATAGCTGTGCCTCTTTTCAAGTTTCCCCGACCCTGTGTACACATATAGCTGTGCCTCTTATCGAGTTTCCCCGACACTGTGTACACATATAGCTGTGCCTCTTATCAGGTTTCCCGACACTGTGTATACATATAGCGGTGCCTCTCATCAAGCTTCCCCCCACTGTGCATACATATAGCTGTGCCTCTTATCAAGCTTCCCCGACACTGTGTATACATATAGCTGTTCCTCTTATCAAGTTTCCCGACACTGTATATACATATAGCTGTGCCTCTTACAAGTTTCCCGACACTGTGTATACATATATCTGTGCCTCTTATCAAGTTTCCCATCCCTGTGTATACATATAGCTGTGCCTCTTTTCAAGTTTCCCCGACCCTGTGTACACATATAGCTGTGCCTCTTATCAGGTTTCCCGACACTGTGTATACATTTAGCTGTGCCTCTTATCAAGTTTGCCCGACACTGTGTATACATATAGCTGTACCTCTTATCAAGTTTCCCGACACTGGGTATACATATAGCTGTGCCTCTTATCAATTTTCCCGACCCTGTGTATACATATAGCTGTGCCTCTAATCAAGTTTCCCCGACACTGTGTACACATATAGCTGTGCCTGTTATCAAGTTTCCCCGACACTGTGTACACATATAGCTGTGCCTGTTATCAAGTTTCCCCGACACTGTGTACACATATAGCTGTGCCTCTTATCGAGTTTCCCCGACACTGTGTACACATATAGCTGTGCCTGTTATCAAGTTTCCCCGACACTGTGTACACATATAGCTGTGCCTCTTATCAAGTCTCCCGACACTGTGTATACATATAGCGGTGCCTCTCATCAAGCTTCCCCCCACTGTGCATACATATAGCTGTGCCTCTTATCAGGTTTCCCGACACTGTGTACACATATAGCTGTGCCTCTTATCAAGGTTCCTGACACTGTGTATACATATAGCTGTGCCTCTAATCAAGTTTCCCGACCCTGTGTATACATATAGCTGTGCCTCTTATCAAGTTTCCCGACACTGTGTATACATATAGCTGTACCTCTTATCAAGTTTCCCGACACTGTGTATACATGTAGTATTGACCCTGTAATAAGCCCAGTGACCGACACAAATTTCTGACTCGACGTAGGAAAGGGGATTATTACAGGACAATGAAATCTGATTTGATGGCATTTTCTCTGATCGACAATTGACATATATATGGATGGGCTTATTACCAGGCATGGGCTTATTGCAAAACTATTTAAATTAATACCACTCAAATATTTTAACTTTTGTTCTGTAGGGAGGTCTTTTTGGTGATGTGGTGACAGAAGAGGCTATAGAGGAAGGTATGGCTTAAAAATAGAAATTCTCAAGTTTTTCTTTGGATTTTGCTGAAATTGTCAATGAGAATTAATCTGAAAATAATTACAAAAATATGATGATGGCCACTCACAGTTTCTTTATGTAAAATCTATAAGAAGCTTTTCGTGAATATACTATCATGAGTGACTTAATCAAAGAAGCACAAATCTAACTTATTTTTCATTGACTGTCTTACAACATATTTTACAACATAGAATATAGCATTTATTCAGTAAAATGATGATTTCAATGTCATGTTTACAGAGAAACCTAAGAAGAAAACTAGTAAGAAGCCTGCTGGAGGCGTGTCTCTGTTTAGGGCAGGTAAGGAATCATTATCTCCCCAGGTTATAGAATTGTACACATCGTAGCGGAGTAAACATGATATCAGATCAACACCGCATCATAGCATAATTAATGTTAATATATCATTTCAACAACATTTTATAGCGAAATGAGTGTGTCATTGTCATTTCAACAGCACATAATAGCATAGTTAACATTACAATGTCCGATAAAAATGCTATATGATAAAGATAATTTCAGAAAAGTCTTGCATCAAACACATACTAACAAGACCTCAGATTGTCAATTCATGTTGATTTCCTGTCTGATGGTATCCTCTAAATATACCATTATTAACAAATCGGTCCACAAATTTGACATGTCAGGGTTGTATTTTATCTTCAAAATGTTGCTGATGATTTTGTCTACGAGGTCATTTGTCTTCCAGATGATGATGATATGTTTGAGTCCAGTACGAAGGAAAGAAGTGACTCCAACAAAAAGCCAACGTCCATATCGGCTCCAAGCACTAAGAAAGGCGGAGGCGCTGGCAGTGGATTCTTTGATGACGACGACGATGAGGATGAGGATGCCGGTGATTTGTTTGCCACATCAAACAAAAAACCATCAGGTCATTATATAGATTTCGTTTTCCTTTTAACTAAACTATGTTTAGTTCAAAACAGGTGGCAGCACTGTACTACGCTTAAATGTTGATGTACAAACTGTATACCGAGAAACTTTCACCCTGACAAACTTTCACCCTGACAAACTTTCACCCTGACAAACTTCGCTCTCCACACATAGAATCTGTTTTTCGCTCAGTGTTAATTTCGCCTTCCACATGTTATTACTCTGTATAGTATGTTGTGTATTTATTTTCAGTGTCGTGGTAAATCCGCTCTCAATATGAAGGAGGAAAAAGGCGATAGATAAACTGTGACGAAAATTTCCCGATACACAGTATACATTACATATCTTATATAGGGTGTCACATACAATTCCCAAATGTTATATGTCAGTTAAATATTTCAGTTAAATACGTTGGTTAGCATGTACAATGTACAAAGCCTAAGGCCAAGTTCATACAAACGCTTCACCAGTCATTTGCCTAACAACATCCTCGGTATCCAGGGGTTACGCTCTCTTTCACTCTCTACACCCCTGGAATGTGTCATAGCAAAATTGAAGGTTCAGTGTGCGCCACCTTGTCGATGAGAAAAGAAGGCTAGTTTGATCCTTTGATATACATCAAAAGAATCTCGCGATCACATAACGGTAAAATTTGACAGGCTTTGAAGTCGGGCGTCTCTCCTTTGTAATCTTCAAAGGACAGGTATCAGCCTAGCGATTGGTCAGTTTGTTTTTACCCGAGACCAATCAAACAGCTATCTTTGTGTCTTTAATTTTGCTATGGCATATTCCAGGGGTGTAGAGAGCGAAAGTGAGCGTAACCTCTGGACATGGAGGATGGCCTAACAAAGGTGACAGTACATATTGTACTAGTCATCTAAATGTCAGGCTCAAACATTTCACTGGTTGGGCTATATGAACCTTTACTTGACAAACTCGAGGGAAATATTTAGAAATTGGTCAATATTTATAACTACATGAAGACAAAGACTTAGTTCAAAGTTGAACAAGATGTAACTGGACGGCGTATATTTTTCCACCCCTGCGGTACTCTTGTTGTCATTTACATTTAAAATTATCATCTTTGCTATATGTTGTATAACTGCATTAGTTTAAGCTATAATATTCAATGGAACTTGGATGCATCTAGATTTGTATTAAATATGTTGTTTTATTTTAAGAATTATTTCATTATTTATAAAAGAGTATTCTCCACTCTGAATATAGGTTCAACATATATCAATATTCTGTATTAAATCTGAATGGTACAAGTAAAGCATCTTAACTCATTTACCCCTAAAGACACATTTGAGCTCTTTTGATTCCAAGGTTGGAATAGTTCATTATGAATTTCAGGGGTGAATTAGTTAGAGAAATTCAAGTATACTGTGTATCTCTTAACCCCATTTGTGAAAAATTAATTAAGTCTATTGGTGGTTGGGGTGTCTCAAGTTAGAGCCAACAAGTACATTTTATCATGAAAATGGAGTAGTTTATGCTGTATTGAGAAACTGAACGGAAAACCAATTGTATCAGGGAAATATATTGAGTTATATATATTATTGATCTAATTCTGTGTCAGTAGATAACTTGATGAATAATTTTACATACTTTATCAAAAAAAAAAAAAACCCATTTGTATCAGAAGTAAAATCCATAATCATGAATTTGATTTGAAAGTTGCATAATGATGACCTTGACTTAAGATTGTGACTGATAGACTTTGACATAGTATCGGTGATGTGTGTTGATGACGTTGACTTCTAGTAAGGTTGTCTTTGTGTTTCAGGAGAAGAAAAGGTCAAAGCTCCATCTAAATCTGCATTGTTTGATGACGAGGATGATGAGGGGGATTTGTTTGGATCAGGTTCAGCAGCAAAACCACCAGAGGAGAAAAAGAAACCAGAGAAAAAGGTTAGGGTCATACAGTCAGAAGACTGGTTAACGAATGTCTATAAGGCAAGGTATCAAGAAATGCAGGATCCTAAGGTTAAAGGTGAAATAAACACAAGTTCAAAGGTCAATTAATGTGGGGTCACTGGTCAACAATGTAAGGGGTCAAACAAAGGGACATTAATGTTGAATATTTAGCTCATTTGGCTCAAGGGGCCAGGTGAGCTTATCCTGTGGTATGGCATCCATCATCTGTCAACTTTTTCTTTAAACAATTTCTTCTTGACGGGAGAATAGAAGGTATGGGATCCTATAGGTTTGACATTTAGTAACCTTTGATAAAGCCACTTTGGGTTTCTGTGAAAATTTGGAATATTGAATTTTCTGTTTTAAGAAATAATCAACTTAAATTCCCAAATTCCTGAATAATTTGTTTTGAGACTACAAAATATAACAACAAAAAAACAAAGCACAATTTCCATATTACTAGACTCTGGTATGACAATTTTTAGGTCACCTGAGCTTTAGCTCAAGTGACCTATTGCTATCCGTTTTCGTCCGTCGTCGTCCGTCGTCCGTCGTCCGTCATCCGTCGTCCGTCGTCCGTCGTCCGTCGTCCGTTAACATTTTACATTTCAAACTTAAAGTCAAGTTCTGCTGGGCCGATTGAACNGTTTGTGTTCTCACAGCTACCAGCGGGGGCTGTCTCCATGTTTGGTAGTGGACCTAACCCACTAGCTGCTGCTCTGAAGAAACAGCGTCCAGCCTCTGATGTAAGTGGACATATTCTATAAACCAGATCCAGTTTGCTGTCCGGTCTAGACATAATGTCAGATTTCAGGCCTTGTCATTGTGAGACAAACAATCTAATCATTGGTTGTTGAGGGAACTTTTATTATTTCTGTTTTAGAAATAATTACCTTTTGCAATGCAGAATGTTATTTCAGTCACAAAAATGTAACATATATGTAGGGTAGGAAGTCTTAAAGCTAGCAGTTAAAGCTAGGTGGAACAGCATATTTGGGGAAGAAGGCTTAATTTAGAAGGTAAAACTTCAGAGCCAGCTCCGTAAAGCCATCTTGGCAAGTTCATTTTCTCAATTTGTGAGATCATAGACAATATTCCTAGCCTCTTTCACAATTTACGCTCTTAATTATTGAATTTGAAAGTTTCGTCCATAATATAGACATGATAAGGAAACAACTTTTCCAAGCATCGTTTATCATGTTGATGAAGGATTAGTGTTTTTTTAATATACATATATGGTGATTTGTCTTCCTGTTTACCACGGTCTGTCTATAGTTGTCGGAAATAGTTTTTTAACCTTTTATAAGGAACCTTACTTGTCAGTTTTGATATGCTTGATCAGACACATGTCTTTTAAAATTTCTTCCTTCTTTTCTTACACTCTTTACAAATTTTCATGTGTATATTATTTATATTTATATATAATAATTTATTAAATATATCTGTATTTATATTCTAAAATAGATTTTGTTCCGTTTATACCAGGATGAAGACAGCGATGCCTCAGCTGGACACAAGTCCCGTAGCAGCAGCATTAAATCTAGCCAATCACAGTCCTCTTTGTCTTCACGACAAGTTGATAAAGTGAAGAAAGATGGCCGGAGTTCTTCCAACAATAGTCTGTTTGATGAGGATGCTGATGACAGTTTATTCAGTAGTCCTCCTAAACCAAGAGCAGACAGGTGAGTTTTCTACTTCTGTAATAATGATATACACAAATATTAACACATGGGCGTGGTGTATGTTGTCAAATATTAACACAGGGGCATGGTGTGTGTTGTCAAATATTAACACAGCATGGTGTATGTTGTCAAATGTTAACACAGGGGCATGGTGAATGTTGCCAAATATTAACACAGGGATGTGGTGAATGTTGTCAAATATTAACACAGGGGTGTGGTGTATTTTGTCAAATATTAACACAGGGGTGTGGTGTATGTTGTCAAATATTAACACAGGGGCGTGGTGTATATTGACAAACAATAACACAGGGGCCTGGGGATTTTAACAGACAATAGAACAAGGGTCTGTCGGATGTAGATGACCCTTATCACTGCTTCAGAGATATTGACAGGATTAAACATGTTGATGGTCAGTAGGACAACAGCCTTGGCATTCAACATTGAAATTGTTGCCCTGGGGGATGAAGAATTAGGCCATCACAGGGACATGTGGATTAAACTTTTAAAGAAAGTTCTGCTTAAAAATGAGTGAAGGTATTTTTGGCTAGTTTAGCATGGAGCGTCCCATTGCTGAGGATACCAAGGTTGTATGGATATGAATGGTGTGGCCAGTCCTGGAGACAAGAAAGGGTCCTTAAAAGGGGAAGGAGGTGTATATCAGAAATGTTTTAACAGTTCAACCCAAATTGTTTGTTCTACAATTTCTGTATCCTGGTAAATCAATTTTTATGTTTTTTCAGTAAATCGAAAGCTAAGCCAGTAGATTCATTGTTTGGAGAGGATGAAGATGACGGTTTGTTTGGTATGGGAAAGAAACCTAACAAAAAAGCAGCAGCAAAGGTATAAAGCTGGTATTATCAGTGTATAATAGATTAATATGGTATCGTGGATACATAGGGCTATTGTCATTTGTCATAAGGATCCCTCTACCACTGTCAAAAACTGTAACGGTTTATTCTAGCATGACTAGCTTTGATAAATCATTGCTGAAAAGAAAACCATACCATGCACAATGAATTGTTCCACTCTTAAAAAAACTCATTGTTTCTGGGTAGAGAAAAACCTTACCTATGACTTCTATATACAGTGAAACCTCAGGGTAAAGGACACTATACACAGTGAAACCTCAGGGTAATGGACACTATATACAGTGAAACCTTGGGGTAATGGACATTATACACAGTGAAACCTCAGGGTAATGGACATTATATACAGTGAAACCTAGGGGTAATGGACACTATACACAGTGAAACCTCAGGGTAATGGACACTATACACAGTGAAACCTTGAGGTAATGGACATTATATACAGTAAAACCTTGGGGTAATGGACATTATACACAGTGAAACCTCAGGGTAATGGACACTATACACAGTGAAACCTTGGGGTAATGGACACTATACACAGTGAAACCTCAGGGTAATGGACATTATATATATATCTGTATGGTTTCTTCGTAAAGTACAACCTTGTTAGTATGGGGTCAGGACTAAACAATTAAACCTGATTATTCTGTGTTAAGTATTCTAACAAAAATGGAAAACAAATGTTTGAAATAATTAGAACGTCACCTGTCATGTGTTAAAACTTGCCTCTATATCAGGAGCATTTATAAGTGCGGACTAATTTTGTAATTCACGATCAGAGTTAACGATTTACTTTTGGGACTATTTTCTTTATCTACTCTCTGAGTTGGGATTTATGTTAGGACTGTTTTTTGGGACTATTTTCTTTATTTCTGATCTGAGTTGAGATATATTGTTTACAGAGTAAGGTGACAGAGAAGCCTAAATCAAGTGGTCTGTTTGGGGAGGAAGATGAGGAAGGAGACATGTTTGATGGCGCCCCAGTCAAGTCTACCCCCAGGTATATTGTCATTTCAAATTGTCCATTTTCCTTGTTTAATTTCCACACAATCAGTTGATAAACAAAAAATATTAACATGACAGTATGAACAACACGTAATGTTAGTATAAATGTTTTAATTTATTTTGTTCTATGTATTTTAGTTTTATATGTGAAAATGATAGTGTCTGAACTAAAAATTAAAAAAAAATCTTCTTAATAAAGTTATGAAATGATATAAATTAAAAAAAAAATCTTCATAATAACATTACGAAAATTATGCCAACTCTTTTCAATCTTACCAGATACATGAAGATTGTATAAAATAATTACATTACGAAAATTTGGTTGGGTGGAATAGTGAATTAGATTGACTTTGCTGGTTTGTAAGCCTTTCTCTGTCCTATACACACAGTAAGAAACCTGTGGGAGGCGTGTCCTTGTTTGGTGGGGCTGATATTCTCGGCAAAAAAAAAGCAGACCCAACACCAGAGCCAGTACAGAAACAGGTCAGTTGTCTCCAGTAATGAACTTACTTATGATATTTAATCATATGAGCAATCCACAGGATTTCAACCTGTGTTAATAAAAACCTGTCGGCTGTATTTTTTAAACAAGATAGCTAACTTTGTTCTGAATGGTAATGGGTATTCTGACATACTCATGAAATATACACGTTGTATACTGTATACCATGAAATATATACACGTTGTATACTGTATACCATGAAATATACACGTTGTATACTGCATACCATGAAATGTTCGTTGTATATAAACATTCATGGTTTTCGTGGAGGCTACGGAACCACGAATATAAATACAACGAATTTAATTCATATATACTGGACTACTCTTTGTTTATATAGGGAATCCACGAAAGTTTGTAGCACAAAACGATCTAATGGCTTTCAGCCATGAAAGAAAATACTCACGAATATTTCATGTTATACAGTAACGTATTCAACATTACACCGTTAATTATTCTCTTTATCTTAACACAATAAGGGCATATCTCAACGTAAATGGTACAGGAACTTACCATAATATAAATCGTTTATTAACCAGATACAATTTTGAAACAATACCAAGTTATGTTAGATAGCTGTTACCAAATGTACAAATGTCCATAGACATATTTCAAGTCCACAAAAGATCTTTTTGCATGAACACAGGGATAAATATCTCCATGGACCTAACAAAGTTCAGCCTTCTCTCTGATATCTGCTAAATGTTTCTTTGTATATTCAAGGAATGTTTTAACATTTTGCCGCGAATGTATTGCTTTGGTAACCATGGTCAACGTTACAATGCGACGGTCTTTGTCTGCACAGGAACCTCCAAAGACACAAGCTGCTGCGCCGAACAAGTCTCCTCTGTCACTGTTTGATGATAACGCGGACGAAGAAGATGATTTGTTTGGAGGAGTTGGTGATGTGGCCACCAAAGCACCACAGGTGTGTACATAACCTTGTACTGTTCAGCTCCCTCTGTTTTTAGGTCGTTTATATAAAACGTTGGATATAAACAGGGCTTTAAATTTATTTGAGTTAACATCGACAGCTATCAGCTTGGTGCAGATATAAACTAGGCATTGGATGTTAAAGTTAACATAAACCGCAATCCACTGGGCCTGGGCCAAGTGGCTCCAAGTAATGTTAGGTTAATCGGACAATATATAAAAGTTTCAGTCTCAAATATTCCCAGGATTATTGAAGTCAATTGTGAAATCATGTGTCAAGATATTGATGATATCCTAAAGACAAAATCATAAAAATAACTTGTATAATTCAGAAAGTTAAACAATGACCTATTTGATATTTGATATTTATTCACCAGGATATTCGATTGTGAATTCAACTATATCATCATTATTTCTTCCAACACATCAAATATTATTAGGTTTGACATATTATCTAAAAGAAATTCACATTTCATGGTTTTGTGATGTCACACTTGTGACTTAATATTTTCATAACAGATTTTAATGAAACTAAATTTGCTTCTAAATCCTGTTAAGGGTGCTCGGCTCCCACCTGAGGATTTGTATTGTAATTGATAACATCAAGTTAATATTTTTTCCTATATTAAAACATCAGTATGCAGACATGGTTAAGCTGTTAATTGTTATTGGGCGGATTGGTTGAGTGGTTAACACTCCGGCCTTCCACACAGTGGTGAACACAGGTATCTGTGCTGTAGCATTCAAGTGAGGTGGCACTATAAATGATACTGTTGGAAGCACGGTCTCCCTACAAACAGAACACATTACATCTCCAGCACACACGCAGGCATACACACATAGGAAGATATTAGCCTGGTGGCATAGGGCTAGAAGTTAGCACCTGATAAGGCAGCTCCTAAGAATTCCTCCAAAATTGTATTGATTAATGTATATGCTAATTGTATTNACAAATTCCTCCAAAATTGTATTGATTTATGTATATGCTAATTGTATTAATTGTATATATATGTCCTGTAAAGCGCTTTAGAGTGGCTTATTCTAGCTAGATAGGGCGCTATATCAAATGTTGTATAGTATTCTAGCTAGATAGGGCGTATATCAAATGTTGTATAGTATTCTAGCTAGATAGAGCGTATATCAAATGTTATATAGTATTCTAGCTAGATAGGGTGCTATATCAAACGTTGTATATTATTCTAGCTAGATAGGGCGTATATCAAATGTTGTATATTATTCTAGCTAGATAGGGCGCTATATCAAATGTTTTATATTGTTCTGTTTCTAGGCCAAACCTGTGGCCACAACAGGAGGGAAGAGAGATTTGTTTGGTGATGAGGATGTCCTGTTTGGAGGGGCTGAGGAGGAGTCCCCCGGGGTCAATCTGTTTGGCTCTCCTGCTTCCCCTGGCACATCACCAGAGGTAAACGTCAGGATTTCTGGTTCCAGTTTTCACTTCATTCATGTGCCTTTAATGTGTTCGAGTTATCTCCCTTAACACAATTAATGATCATTTTACAAGTTTTGTCAATAAATGCATTGTTGTGTATAGGGCTTAGCGGTCAGATATGTGTATGCCCTATATATAGTAATCATGGTGTCTGTCTGTCTGTCGGTCTGTCAGTCTGTCTGTCCACATTTTCGTTTTCGTAGATTATCTTGGAAACCAAGAGACTAATCTTTCTGAAATTTGACAAGGTGAAATATAGTTATTTGGCATTTAAAAATGGTGGAGGTCAGTCAGACACATAGCGGGGCCCTTGCTGACCTGTCGGTGTACTTGTTAGATAAGAAAAAGTTAAATTACTCAATATTTAAGATTTTTCACAATTCCATATACAGTATGCAGTATTTATTTAGCATAACTATATAGAACGAAAAAGAAATAACAGCGCTTTACGTACAGAGTACCATAAAGATGAAATATCTTACTACCATCACCACTATTATGAAACATGTAAGTCATTTCATTGCTAGTTGGCATTACTTCTTGTATAAAATAAGTTTGATTCACGTGTATATTTTAGGATATGTCATATTTTAGTGGACAAGTTAAAGAAGGATATGGTATTCCTGATATATTGCTATTCATTTGTTATGTCTGAAACTGTCCATTTTTTTAGCTCTGCCTACAGTGCAGTCCAAGTTTGTTCGTTAATCCTAGAGTTTTTATGAACCTCCTGAACTGTTTCAACCGGGATATGCAAATGCGGCCCATGTATCAAATCTCATGAACAATTTCAACTTCTTTTTCAGAAGAGTTCGCCTGTAAAGTCAAAGGCAGCTCCGACCCCTAAGGCGCCTGTTACCAAGGTAACACAGAAATCAAGCTCAGGTCTGTTTAACGATGACGATGACGACGACATGTTTGGATCGTCAGCACCAAAGGTAAAAAGAACATTGGAACACAAAGCATTAGAGTGTTAGATGAAGTCAAAAGATAAAAAAAATATTTTAAGTTTTACTGCAAAAGACAAGTTTTCCTGTTTGAGTAAATTAATGATGATTTACTTTTGTAGACTCTAAACTTTGTTTTTAGGCTACATGTAAGATGAAGTTAAATGTGTTCATGTGACAACTTGTCCATTGAAAATTACCCAAGTAAAACATTTCCTCTGTTCCTACCTGATCATTCCAGTTTTCTGCCGGGACAGGTGTGTGACGATAATTTATTGAATATCCAACAGAATAAAATTGGAACTCGTTTTGATATGCTTGCCAGGTTGTTCCAGGAAAGTATTTGATATAAAATTGTTTTTGAAAAATTCTGCTCCAATCTTTCTCTTTAAATTCTGTATTTTAGGTACGGGCGGACAGTGGGGCGACACTCCCTGTGGCTGGGGTCACTACGGAGGAGAGTTCTGATACACCAAAGGTCTGAATCACTAGTTATATAATCATCTCACAGCTTGGTTCTTACTACTTCAAATACCAATACTGAATTTGAAAGAAAAATGTCTTGTGATTTCATGTTTGTCAGCAAATTTGATTTAGTATTGTTTATTTTGTAGAATAAGGAGGCTACAAAGCCCTGGAAACCTGTAGGAGGCGTGTCCATCATGGGGGGTATCGATCCCTTCGCCATCAAAAAACGAAGACCAGTCGGTGAATCAGACGAGGAGGACGATGTGGGGCCAAAGAAAACAGAAGTAAAGGAACCACCAGAGCCTGCCCAGTCTGCTCCGGTAACAAAAAAAGGTATAGGCCGATAGATCAGAAAAGGTTCTGTTCTTAGAAGAATTTTACAGTGTGTCATATACATATGTAAGTGTATCCATGTGGAACCAAGGCATATGCTGAAGGTAGAATTAACTTACCCCCACAAACCTACATGATAATTAATCCCCCACAGATGGTAGCAGAGGGGACTACAGGTTTGTACTGCATTGGTCAGTGTGTCCTAGGCGTATCTCATGTAACCTGTGCATGTGAATACCTTTTGGTATGGTAGCGTCACAAACTGAAACATAGGGTCTTGTGCAGAGAGTATAGAGAGTTATAGCCCTTTGTTCACCGTGGGTCGCTCTATCGAGGGCATGTCTCGTATTCCCTGGTAGGCACGTGGCATGTCTCGTATTCCCTGGTAGGCACACGGCATGTCTCGTATTCCCTGGTAGGCACACGGCATGTCCCGTATTCCCTGGTAGGCACACGGCAGGGCCCTTGTTGACCTGGCAAGGTTCTAGTTGCATCGACCACTGCATTCCAGAAAGTAATCGGGTCAATACAAATTTCGATAATTTTTTATTTTATTTTTAAATTTGTTATTGCATCAATCACATAATTAAGGTACAAGTGAGACAAAGGTGCTTGATTCTATAAAATGTAACACTATTTATTTTTCCAGTTGATCCCTTATTTGGTGATGACGATGATAGTGATGACATGTTCACAGTCTCCAAACCAAGTCCTAAACCCTCGACTATTTCCGCCACTAAACCTCCCCAGAAAACTGAGGATGTCTTTAGCCCCAACAAACCTGCCAACACTTCAGTGCCAAAACCCAAGCCTGGTCCCCTGTCTGTGGACGATGACGAGGATGATGATGACATGTTTGGTCGGAAGCCTCCCCCATTACAACTTGACTCTCCAGCTAAATCAAAAGTGGGTGATGTATTTAGTTCGTCCCCCTCCTCAGAAAGCGATATGTTTGGCTCGTCACCCCCCGCGCTAGAGGAACCACAAACGGCACCACCAAAGGTGAAGAAGCCGCCTGCGGGGGCTGTGTCCATGTTTGGTGGGGTTGATCCATTCGCAGCCATGAAGAAAAAACAAGCTGTAGAAAGTGAAAGTAAGTGTTATTGTTTGATTTGTAAAATGATTGATAAATGTTAAGGGTACAGCCAACATGATGGTGGAATAATCTCGTCCTCTGTCCCTCGTCTGGATACTCAAAAGTATGCAGGACAATTGAGTAAAATGGTTTACATATTAATATAAACTTTATTTCATTTCCTTTTTTCCCCGTTTACAGTATGATGTAAAGCAATACACAATTGTTGAAATTAGATTTGTAAACAAGTTTAACAACTTATGTAGATCCGTATCCAGGTTACATATTCATAGATTCAATCACAACAGGCGAAGGAGCAGGTTGTCCTTGTGGTTTATTAGGATCGCAGGTGTCTTGTAGTTTATATTAGAATAATGATTCTAATAAACTATAAGAACTAGTCGATCCTTTGCCTGTTGGGATTGAAGCTATGGTTGATGAAGAATACATCACAGCTAGGTACGACTCATACTGTCTGGATTGTGGAATGACGGAATGCAGCATCATTGTCTATAAAATCCAATTATTACCGTTATAGCATAAATATATGTCATTGGTTCCTGTCCGTAATTTTTCTTGCTCTCCGTAAACCTGTTTTTCTTGCTCTCCGTAAACCTGTTTTTCATAAACCTGTTTTTCTTGCTCTCCTCAAACCTGTTTTTCGTAAACCTGTTTTTCTTGCTCTCCGTAAACCTGTTTTTCTTGCTCTCCGTAAACCTGGTTTTCTTGCTCTCCGTAATCCTGGTTTTCTTATTACACCTAAGATATTGCAGTTACTTATTTCATTTGTTACATATTGTCGTATTCTTTAGAAAAGGAGTCCAATTTTTGGAAATATTTTTGTAAGAAAGTTTATTTAAAAACGTGTCCTTTCCAGAACAGTTTTTAAGGAGTTTTATAAAATTGAAAAAATTGTACTACGAATATGTTTTACAAATAATATATGAACAAAACATGTTTTTTCAGAGACAGCAGAAGATTCAGAAGAACAGGTAATCATGATTATTTTTGTATTGTAGTTTTGGTGTGGCTTTACCTGGTAGTGTTTAGCTCTCTGACTTTTTCTCGTAGTGTTTTAGTAGGAGGTTTGCCTTCTGTCATGTTCTATCCTGCCTAACGAGCTTTAACAACTTACAGCCTATTTTAAAACATTCAAAACATTTCAAATTTTAGAAGATTAGATTTTTTCTTGTAATAAATCCAATCCAAAAAAGGGAAAGAAGTAATTTCTCAAAAACTGCAGTTTATTTCATTAGGCTCTGTATCATTGAAAAAAAAATCGTATTTTAAAATTCATAGATTCCCATTAGATAAAAAATAATTTGGAAAGGAAAAAAATCAAAAATATTATTTTGTTTTTCAAATTTGAAGATAAATAAAAAAACAAATTAAGATATCGACAAAAATTGAAGTTTCACTAACACTTTCTTGTTTGTGAAGCTGTCTTGAAGGAATCAGGCACAGAGTTCTACATTTTTGATTTTATAGAGTTTTATGATAATTGCTGCAATACAATATCAATCCCACTTCAAATAGATAATTGTCACTGAATTGGTTTTCAATAAAAGATTATATAATTATGTATTCATGAAAGAACTAAAGGATGAATATAACAACAAATTATTATGGAATATGATGTAAACATAATAAAATTTCAAGATATCAAAATGGCTGAACTTCAAACAGAACATTGTTCTGTTGCTGAAAGAACACCATGCTTTTCCTTTTTAATGGTTGTGTAGTTAGCAGATTTTCATTTAAAAAGAAACCTTTTTCTTGTATCAAATTCTTTATATGTTAATCTGTAGTGTGTTGTGTGTGGCTTGTACTCTCTGGTTTGTGTTGTGGTTGCCTGGCTTTTTACTGACTGTAGTGATGCTTTGTTTCTTAGCCCTCAGCATCTGTACCTAAAAAGGCAACTTCTAACAAGGGGAGCGAACTCCCATCTCCAACCAAGGAGACAGAACCCCCGTCTCCCACCAAAGGGTTTGCCCCTTCTTCACCCACCAAGGGGCCAGAGAAAGGGTTTCCTACCAAAGGGCCCGCTGGTAAAATAGGGAAACTAAAGGTATTGCCCTGTAAAACAGTCTATATAATGTATGAATGTAGCCTATATGTTGGTGTCCTATTTATCAAAATACAACAATCTAATAACAGACAGTTTCACAAATCGCTTAATTGTGGTCATTTTAAGATTTTTCTTTCAGCAATGATTAAGGGAGATTTAAGAATATTCAATAAGGAAAACTCATAAATAAAATGTTTGTTATAGCCAGAAGTGTTTGCAGATAGAATTATCCTGTTGAATCTTAGACATAAAAAGAGATATATTTTTCAAGCAATTTTTTATCCTATAACAGTTTTAGTATCGTTACTGATCAGAAGATGAATTACACATACTGTTATATTACAGATGAACATAGGGATCAACCCCGCTGCTCTACTACCTGGGGCGGCCCCACCTGTGAAGGAGCCAGAACCGGTCGCTATAGGATTTGACCAGCCCGCTGAGGTCAAAACCCTACACAGCGCCTCAAAGGTACGAAACAGAAACATGTAACCACCAGCAGACAACTTTTATACATGATCAATTGCTCATTCTTCGAATCCTCATCAAAGATAACTTTTCATGAATGCATTTTCTAGTATCAAGACAAAATACTTTATTGAAGACACCAAAAATTATTAGATAAATTAATCAAAATACACTCAATAGTACATTTGGAGGTCGGAGCCAGAATGGTGACCTTATTACTGACATATACATTTGCAAATGTAATTGCATTTATAGTTGAGAATATTTTCTCTCAGTATTATGATGGAGGGTATATTGTGTATTTTCCAGGACCGTGCAAGAATACAGACGAAACGCCGCCCACCCAGTCGCATGGCTCGTCAATCAAAGGGAGATAGTAGCACCAGTGATTTATTTAGCCCTTCATCGCCACCTGGTGATGATGTTCCCAAAGAGATGCCAAAACCAGTTGTGAATAATCGAGTGCCGCAACCAACCTCCGATCTTTTTGGTAACGATGATTTGCTGGATGGTGGCTCTACGACACCTGTCAAGTCAGCTCCTATTGTCCAAGAAAATCACCTATTCTCAGGTGGAGCTTTCTCCTCAGGTGCTAAAGTTACAAAATCAAAAAAAGGGGTGGACGATGATTTGTTTGGAAGTCCGACTAAATCGGTTGTGAAGTCAGCGACTAGTGACGATGTATTTGATGTGTCATCTAAAAAGCCTAGTACACTAATGAACAACGATGAGGAGGAGGATTTGTTTGCTCCTAAATCTTCTAAAAGGTCTACTAAAGTTACTGATGAGGACGATATATTTTCTACGTCACAGCCAAAAGTGTCAAAACAGTTGCTAAATGACGATAACTTATTCCCTTCAAAGTCAGGAACAAAGAATGATAACTCTAAGGCGCTGCCACCTAGTGAGAAATCTACAAACGGTACTCAGAATGATGATGATATATTTGGGGGTGTAGGCACACCCAAGAAAACAGGTACGGTATTTTATTTGTACTTCTTTACCCAGTAGGTTTAGGTTAGATTCTGTTTTCCAGGCAAGAATGAGAAAAAAAAACCAGATGTATATATTTTCTCTGTAGTTTATTCCATTTAAGGCCGACAGTCCAAATTAATCAACTTCAGTTGAAATAAAATAAAATGTTCAGAATGCTTTTGAGATGATCCCTTCTATTGACCATCTTGTCTGGCCATCATATCCAAGGAAATACTTTAGCGGGGCAGAGGTATGGTGAGCCTGGCTCATTTTGTGTCAGTTTAACACCTGACCCTAACTTTTCGCTCTTTCAATGAATTATCAATTTTAACAATTATAGATTACTTCTGTAGGAAAGATAAATTCATCAAAACTTGAGTGTATAGCGCCTATTATATAGTCTTCACTTCAAAATCCCTAATTGATTTTATTGATTACAACTGTAAATACCAATTGTACAGTAGTTTTTAGTATCATGTAGTTGTATAAATAGTTGTATAATCTATTCATTTTATTAAGATTCCAGGAGTGAGGTGTGGGGTGTGTGGAGTGATAAATATGTAATGTAAACAAGACCTCCTCAATGATGCTATTTCCTTTGTGACCAACAGGACTTAGGTCCTTCCTCTATATGACTGAGGAATGATTTACGTAGAATATCTTTCTGTAAATGAAGGAAGTTCACTCAATTAATTTACATTACTTGTTCGTTTTGAAACATGATATTTTCCTGTTGTCTATTTCAGATATGAAATTTGAGGTTTCTGATTTTCCCCTGTTGTCTATTTCAGAAGCAAAGCCTGTACTTGAAAAAGACAAAATGAACAATGATGATATATTTGCTGGAGCCACGGACACTGTGAAAAAAGTAGAAAAACCCAATCAGGATGAGGTTAGTTTTACAGACTTGTAACTTAGGTAGAATAATGGCCGTGCAAGCCTAGGTAGGTAAAGACAGGTTTCTAGGGTAAGAAAGGGGTGCAAGACATTTCTTTCTTACTCCTCGAACTGCTCAGCATGACATGCCGTCAAGAATTTGAAAAAGTCTGATGCCACAATGCGGAAATAAAGGAGTCTTATAATAAAAAAGAAAACACAACTAAATTCCACAATTCATTTCCAGGACGAAGACTTGTTTGGAAAGCCAATGGAAAAGAAGAAACGGCAAGTGAAACGAGCCCCAAAGACGAAAGATGAAGATTTATTTAATGACAACACAGACATTTTTGCTGACGTCCCTGCATCTAAACCCAAGGAGAAGAAGAAGAAAAAGACGACAACTGGAGGCTCAAAGAGCTTATTTAAAGACACGGATGGTTTAGGTATGTGTAGGGATATCATCGTATAAGACCCGGATGGTTAAGGTATGTGTAGGGATATCATGATATAAGACACGGATAGTTTAGGTATGTGTAGGGATATCATCGTATAAGACCCGGATGGTTAAGGTATGTGTAGGGATGTCATGGTATAAGACACGGATAGTTTAGGTATGTGTAGGGATATCATGGTATAAGACTCGGATGGTTTAGGTATGTGTAGGGATAACATCGTATAAGACACGGAGGGTTTAGGTATGTGTAGGGATACCATGGTATAAGACACGGAGGGTTTAGGTATGTGTAGGGATATCATTGTATAAGACACGGATGGTTAAGGTATGTGTAGGGATATCATGATATAAGACACGGATAGTTTAGGTATGTGTAGGGATATCATCGTATAAGAGACGGAGGGTTTAGGTATGTGTAGGGATATCATCGTATAAGAGACGGAGGGTTTAGGTATGTGTAGGGATATCATGGTATAAGACACTGATGGTTTAGGTATGTGTAGGAATATTGTCGTATAAGACACGGATGGTTTAGGTATGTGTAGGGATATCATCGTATAAGACACGGATGGTTTAGGTATGTGTAGGGATATCATCGTATAAGACACGGATGGTTTAGGTATGTGTAGGGATATCATCGTATAAGACACGGATGGTTTAGGTATGTGTAGGGATATCATCGTATAAGACACGGATGGTTTAGGTATGTGTAGGGATATCATCGTATAAGACACGGATGGTTTAGGTATGTGTAGGGATATCATCGTATAAGACACGGATGGTTTAGGTATGTGTAGGGATATCATCGTATAAGACACGGATGGTTTAGGTATGTGTAGGGATATCATCGTATAAGACACGGATGGTTTAGGTATGTGTAGGGATATCATCGTATAAGACACGGATGGTTTAGGTATGTGTAGGGATATCATCGTATAAGACACGGATGGTTTAGGTATGTGTAGGGATATCATCGTATAAGACACGGATGGTTTAGGTATGTGTAGGGATATCATCGTATAAGACACGGATGGTTTAGGTATGTGTAGGGATATCATCGTATAAGACACGGATGGTTTAGGTATGTGTAGGGATATCATCGTATAAGACACGGATGGTTTAGGTATGTGTAGGGATATCATCGTATAAGACACGGATGGTTTAGGTATGTGTAGGGATATCATCGTATAAGACACGGATGGTTTAGGTATGTGTAGGGATATCATCGTATAAGACACGGATGGTTTAGGTATGTGTAGGGATATCATCGTATAAGACACGGATGGTTTAGGTATGTGTAGGGATATCATCGTATAAGACACGGATGGTTTAGGTATGTGTAGGGATATCATCGTATAAGACACGGATGGTTTAGGTATGTGTAGGGATATCATCGTATAAGACACGGATGGTTTAGGTATGTGTAGGGATATCATCGTATAAGACACGGATGGTTTAGGTATGTGTAGGGATATCATCGTATAAGACACGGATGGTTTAGGTATGTGTAGGGATATCATCGTATAAGACACGGATGGTTTAGGTATGTGTAGGGATATCATCGTATAAGACACGGATGGTTTAGGTATGTGTAGGGATATCATCGTATAAGACACGGATGGTTTAGGTATGTGTAGGGATATCATCGTATAAGACACGGATGGTTTAGGTATGTGTAGGGATATCATCGTATAAGACACGGATGGTTTAGGTATGTGTAGGGATATCATCGTATAAGACACGGATGGTTTAGGTATGTGTAGGGATATCATCGTATAAGACACGGATGGTTTAGGTATGTGTAGGGATATCATCGTATAAGACACGGATGGTTTAGGTATGTGTAGGGATATCATCGTATAAGACACGGATGGTTTAGGTATGTGTAGGGATATCATCGTATAAGACACGGATGGTTTAGGTATGTGTAGGGATATCATCGTATAAGACACGGATGGTTTAGGTATGTGTAGGGATATCATCGTATAAGACACGGATGGTTTAGGTATGTGTAGGGATATCATCGTATAAGACACGGATGGTTTAGGTATGTGTAGGGATATCATCGTATAAGACACGGATGGTTTAGGTATGTGTAGGGATATCATCGTATAAGACACGGATGGTTTAGGTATGTGTAGGGATATCATCGTATAAGACACGGATGGTTTAGGTATGTGTAGGGATATCATCGTATAAGACACGGATGGTTTAGGTATGTGTAGGGATATCATCGTATAAGACACGGATGGTTTAGGTATGTGTAGGGATATCATCGTATAAGACACGGATGGTTTAGGTATGTGTAGGGATATCATCGTATAAGACACGGATGGTTTAGGTATGTGTAGGGATATCATCGTATAAGACACGGATGGTTTAGGTATGTGTAGGGATATCATCGTATAAGACACGGATGGTTTAGGTATGTGTAGGGATATCATCGTATAAGACACGGATGGTTTAGGTATGTGTAGGGATATCATCGTATAAGACACGGATGGTTTAGGTATGTGTAGGGATATCATCGTATAAGACACGGATGGTTTAGGTATGTGTAGGGATATCATCGTATAAGACACGGATGGTTTAGGTATGTGTAGGGATATCATCGTATAAGACACGGATGGTTTAGGTATGTGTAGGGATATCATCGTATAAGACACGGATGGTTTAGGTATGTGTAGGGATATCATCGTATAAGACACGGATGGTTTAGGTATGTGTAGGGATATCATCGTATAAGACACGGATGGTTTAGGTATGTGTAGGGATATCATCGTATAAGACACGGATGGTTTAGGTATGTGTAGGGATATCATCGTATAAGACACGGATGGTTTAGGTATGTGTAGGGATATCATCGTATAAGACACGGATGGTTTAGGTATGTGTAGGGATATCATCGTATAAGACACGGATGGTTTAGGTATGTGTAGGGATATCATCGTATAAGACACGGATGGTTTAGGTATGTGTAGGGATATCATCGTATAAGACACGGATGGTTTAGGTATGTGTAGGGATATCATCGTATAAGACACGGATGGTTTAGGTATGTGTAGGGATATCATCGTATAAGACACGGATGGTTTAGGTATGTGTAGGGATATCATCGTATAAGACACGGATGGTTTAGGTATGTGTAGGGATATCATCGTATAAGACACGGATGGTTTAGGTATGTGTAGGGATATCATCGTATAAGACACGGATGGTTTAGGTATGTGTAGGGATATCATCGTATAAGACACGGATGGTTTAGGTATGTGTAGGGATATCATCGTATAAGACACGGATGGTTTAGGTATGTGTAGGGATATCATCGTATAAGACACGGATGGTTTAGGTATGTGTAGGGATATCATCGTATAAGACACGGATGGTTTAGGTATGTGTAGGGATATCATCGTATAAGACACGGATGGTTTAGGTATGTGTAGGGATATCATCGTATAAGACACGGATGGTTTAGGTATGTGTAGGGATATCATCGTATAAGACACGGATGGTTTAGGTATGTGTAGGGATATCATCGTATAAGACACGGATGGTTTAGGTATGTGTAGGGATATCATCGTATAAGACACGGATGGTTTAGGTATGTGTAGGGATATCATCGTATAAGACACGGATGGTTTAGGTATGTGTAGGGATATCATCGTATAAGACACGGATGGTTTAGGTATGTGTAGGGATATCATCGTATAAGACACGGATGGTTTAGGTATGTGTAGGGATATCATCGTATAAGACACGGATGGTTTAGGTATGTGTAGGGATATCATCGTATAAGACACGGATGGTTTAGGTATGTGTAGGGATATCATCGTATAAGACACGGATGGTTTAGGTATGTGTAGGGATATCATCGTATAAGACACGGATGGTTTAGGTATGTGTAGGGATATCATCGTATAAGACACGGATGGTTTAGGTATGTGTAGGGATATCATCGTATAAGACACGGATGGTTTAGGTATGTGTAGGGATATCATCGTATAAGACACGGATGGTTTAGGTATGTGTAGGGATATCATCGTATAAGACACGGATGGTTTAGGTATGTGTAGGGATATCATCGTATAAGACACGGATGGTTTAGGTATGTGTAGGGATATCATCGTATAAGACACGGATGGTTTAGGTATGTGTAGGGATATCATCGTATAAGACACGGATGGTTTAGGTATGTGTAGGGATATCATCGTATAAGACACGGATGGTTTAGGTATGTGTAGGGATATCATCGTATAAGACACGGATGGTTTAGGTATGTGTAGGGATATCATCGTATAAGACACGGATGGTTTAGGTATGTGTAGGGATATCATCGTATAAGACACGGATGGTTTAGGTATGTGTAGGGATATCATCGTATAAGACACGGATGGTTTAGGTATGTGTAGGGATATCATCGTATAAGACACGGATGGTTTAGGTATGTGTAGGGATATCATCGTATAAGACACGGATGGTTTAGGTATGTGTAGGGATATCATCGTATAAGACACGGATGGTTTAGGTATGTGTAGGGATATCATGGTATAAGACACGGATGGTTTAGGTATGTGTAGGGATATCATCGTATAAGACACGGATGGTTTAGGTATGTGTAGGGATATCATCGTATAACTAGACACCGATGGTTTAGGTATGTGTAGGGATATCATCGAAAAAGACATGGTTACTTAAACCTCTTGTCAGACACATATTATACTGGGAAATATTGCCTTTTTCGCCCTCCATAATGAGGTTGAATTTATCATTACAGCCAACCTTAGTCAACAACATAATATACATAGTAATAAAATGTGAAGGACGAATTTAACACTGGGCAAATATGGATTATACCGGCAAAGGGTGAAAGTTTCCTGGTAAAGAGTAATTGTAACTTTTATACATTGTACAAGCATGGAACAAATTATTGTGAATCGGTTATTACAAAAGGTGTTCCAATGGTACTAATGTACATGTGTTTCCATTACACAGCCCCGAGATAAATCTACCAAAAATGCTGTAATAAACTCCCCACAGCCAGAACTACGGTACTGTTCAATCAGGGACAAATCATGTTGTCATGTCATATTCTAACTATGACGGAAATTCACAGATGATTTATGGTCATTTAGATTTGTCTGTGTGAAATATCCATTTTAGTATTTGGCTGCAAAATAAACATCCCAATTTGAAATCAAATGTAGATTCTTTTATTCTTCCCTATTGAAGTTATTCATGAACAAAAACACTGATTTACAAGCCAAATTGATCATCAATACATACTTGTTCTCCCTTGTTGCAGACGACATCTTTGCCAGTGCTCCACCCAAAACCAAGACAACCAAGAAGGAGAAAGCCAAGAAAACCGCTCCAGCCGCTGAGAAAAAGACTGGTGCGGATTCAAATGATATTTTTGATGATCCCCTCGGCAACTAATTAAACAAGATGGCCACCTCTTTAAACACGTAGCCTTGAACTGATGATGTTGTGGTGACCTCTAGGATAACCATGTGGTCACCTTGGTGAAGAATATGACTAGGAAGAAATGACCTTCATCTTTATTGTGTGACCTTGATGGTAAAACATTCTCCAAAGAGTGACCTTGGCAAGAAAGTTATGACCTTCATCTTGGATATTTTACCTTGATGATGAAACAATTGCTTAGCAATTACCTTGACCAGGAATCCATGACTATCTTGTGTGCTGAACATTGCTTAAGGAATAACTTTGATTGTTTTGGGGGTTATACGGTATATACCGAAAAATCTGTATGGACTTTGCATAAAGCCCACATATATAACGAAAGAAGTCATAGTTATTCCTTATAATTAAATTCAGAAAGACAGACAGCACTACTTTGTCTATAGTTAATGAGTATTTATTTATTTATGATAAAAACAAAATTCCCACAAAACACAGCATTGTGGTGTAGTATCATTGCTGAGCCACTCAATTAATCAGAAATTAGAATTACAAACACAGTGCCAAACATTGCAGTATACAATGTCATCTGTTTTTGTGTTTATGTGTACAGGGAAAACTTCTGAATTCAAACCGAGAAATATATGTGATTTAAAATGATTTTTTGTGACTTTTCTCGATCAGCAAAATTAATACAATTACACTAGAATGAAATGTATTTTTGATCGTAGTTTTTCGAGGGTACGAAAGGAAACAGATATATTATATTACTTGGCCTGATAAAACATTTTTAAATACTGTAATGTACCTGATATCTTATTTACACCCCATCTACAAAGGAGCTTGGGTTATTCTGTTTTTCGTCCCATCCTTCTGTCTATCTGTCTGTTAGTGATTGTCTCCACTCCAGAGAGCTCATGATATTATTTTATCAAACTTGATGCAACGTTTCAGGACGTTGAATGTGGTTCTCTTACAACTGGTCATAAAAGCGTTCCCAAAGCACTTGGTTTTCTACAGTGTATGTTTAAATTACACAAAAGAGTGAGTTTCAAAGTACTCTATTCAAGGTCAAGGTCACTGTTTCTTAAAATAAAATCTTTGCCATCACTCTAGAAAGCTTATTTCAGATTGCAGTTTAGTATATCAATATCTTGACTGATTTTTAGAAAGCTTATTTCAGAACGCAATTAAGTATTTCAATATCTTAACTGAATTTTAGAAAGCTTTTATCAGATTGCAGTTAAGTATCAGGTATATCAATATCTTGACAGAATTTTAGAAAGCTTTTATCAGATTGTAAGTATTTCAGTATCTTCACAGAATACATATTTACCAATGTATTACGTGGACCAGATTCAGGTCAGATTTGAATGGATATAAGTAAGTATTACCAGTCATCAACATTATACTTAGTGCAATAATGGACTTTAAACATCACAGCATTTGTGACATTAACTACACATTTATAATTCATGGGTTACCTGATTTTCACCACTGGTACCATTTACCTACCTGTGGGCATTAACAATTATACATCACACAAGTTATTGTGTATTGTTGTTACCTAAACAGGATGGCAGAGAAATTGTGTAAGCGTTCCTCACTTCCTTTTGTTGAAAATGTAAGGTTTTATAAAGAAAGTAAGAAAGTATGTACCAGTGTTCTGACTTCAGATATGAATTGATATGTTGTTAAATACTTCATCCTGTTTTGTATATATGTAGAAACCCATTCCCTCCAATGTACAATGTCCTGCCTGAGTATATAATACTGACATTCCTTGTGTAATACCGGTACCACACACACAGAGTGTACCTTGTGTTATACCGGTACCACACACATACAGTGTCACTTATGTAATACAGGTACCACACACACACAGTGTACCTTGTGTAATAACAGTACCACACATACGGTGTACCTTGTGTAATACCGGTACCACACACATACGGTGTACCTTGTGTAATAACGGTACCACACACAGTGTACCTTGTGTAATACCGGTACCACACACACACAGTGTACCTTGTGTTATACCGGTACCACACACATACAGTGTAACTTATGTAATACAGGTACCACACACACACAGTGTACCTTGTGTAATACCGGTACCACACATACGGTGTACCTTGTGTAATACCGGTACCATACACACACAGTGTACCTTGTGTAATACCGGTACCACAGACAGTGTACCTTGTGTAATACCGGTACCACGCACACAGTGTACCTTGTGTATTACCGGTACCATACACACACAGTGTACCTTGTGTAATACCGGTACACATTGTTATCACACATTTACAGTGTACCTTGTGTAATACCGGTACACATTGTTATCGCACACACACAGTGTACCTTGTGTAATACCGGCACACATTGTTATCACACATTTACAATGTACCTTGTGTAATTCCGGTACACATTGTTATCACACAGGTACGGTTTGCCTTGTGTAATAACGGTACCACACACACACAGTGTACCTTGTGTAATACAGGTCCCTCACACACACACAGTGTACCTTGTGTAATACCGGCACACATTGTTATCACACATTTACAATGTACCTTGTGTAATACCGGTACACATTGTTCTCACACATGTACAGTGTACCTTGTGTAATACCGGTACACATTGTTATCACACATTTACAATGTACCTTGTGTAATACCGGTACACATTGTTATCACACATGTACGGTGTACCTTGTGTAATACCGGTACACATTGTTATCACATATGTAGTGTACCTTGTGTAATATCGGTACACATTTTTATAGGCGTGTGTCAATACATGGTTATAATATATATATATCTTTATTGCATAGAAATAAATGTATTTTGATTGGATAAAACTTTGTAGTTAATTCTAATGTTAACTGAATGTGTATTCAGAGACCAAAATGAGACCACATTTTGACTTCTGAATACAGATATGATCCCAGTAATGGTTCCTCTCTACAGGTTTGGTTCCTAAAGGGTGCATGTCTCTCAATACAGGTTTTACTGCTGGAAACCACTGATAGTTCCCAAGGTATTTCTTTATTAGCGAAAAAGTCATTGACAAATTCAAGTTACTTGCTTCCTGACCAAGATAAGGTTACTTTATAGCCCACCATCATTTGATTGTTGGCTGTCCAAATTGTTCTTTGTCCATGTTCCATTGTCAAGTCAGAACACCTGTCCTGAGAGAACATTTCTTGAGACTCATGAACACCTGCTTTTGAGAGAATACCTGTCATGAGAAGAACACCTGTCTTGAGAGAGAACACCTGTTCTGAGAGAACACCTGTCAAATGAAAACACCTGTTTTGAGAGAGAGAACACCTGCCAAATGAAAACACCTGTTTTGAGAAGGAACACCTGTCCTGAGAGAACATCTCTTAAGAGACCACCTGTCCCGAGAGGGCACTTGTACTGAGAGAATACTTGTCCTGAGAAAACACCTGCTTTTGAGAAAACACCTGTTTTTGAGAGAACACCTGATTTGAGAAGAACACCTGTTCTGTGAGAATACCTGTCCTGATAGAATATCTATCCAGAGAAAACACCTGCTTTTGAGAGAACACCTGTCTTTGGAATACACATGTTCTGAGAGAACACCTGTTTTTGAGAGAACACCTGTCCTGAGAGAACACCTGTTTTTGAGAGAGAGAGAACTCCTGCTGTGACAACCTTTGGATGTTAAATTTCAAGTAGGAAAACCACATGGAATTCAAATACACATTAAAATATCAATATTGTATCCTAAAGAAAATTATGAATAACAAGAGTATTGCAGGGAATACAATTTGATGTGATATAGAAGAACCAAGTTATGTAACATTTAATATTTTTTTATTACACCAAAACAAATCCTTATTTTTGTAGAATATTCAATGAATGGTTTTGTTATTAATTATAAAACGAACTAAATTAACAGTACAGAGTTATCCTTCCTGGGACCAACCAGTATCCTTGGTCAGGTCTTGCGACATATCATGTGACTGAGAAAGTTCTGATATGTCATGTGACTGAGAAAGTTCTGATATGTCATGTGACCTAGGAACGTCCTGTGATAGAGATGAGTCATGTGACCCCTGACGTAGATCCTCTCGCTGAAGCCTGAGGTGTACTCTCTCCATGGCCTTGGAATGTGAAGCCACATCATGTGACACAGACACGTTTCCTTCGGTATGTGAATCCACATCCATGGCAGTAGTATGTGAAACACTGACACTTGAATCACCTCCAGAAGTTTGTGAAGCACCGGGACTGTCCATTAGATGAGACACATTTCCTGAAGTCTCAAAACCTAACAGAGAGCTACTTTTGTCCAGCTGCCATAGTAGCATTGACCTACTTTTATCTAGGTCACAAGACAACAGTGACCTAGTCTTTTCAATGTCACTTGAATGTTGTACAGATTCTTGTGATGTTTCATCATCTTCTTCATTTGTTTCTAATTTCTTTTGACTAATCCGTTTTTCTCTCTGTCGTTCATTTTTCCACCATATTTTGACCTTGGCAGCAGTGACCTTGGGCCTTTCTAAGCGCACATGACCTTTATTGAGTTCGTCTGCGAAGTTTTTAAGTTTTGCGTTTGTGGGATTCTTACATTGTTTGTACCACTTCCTCATCTGAGGCACCTCGTGTTCTGGGTGGAAGGTCATTCGAGTGTCCCTAGGACTGGACTTGTCTTCTGAGAAACCTGGAACAAAGGGTAATCTTAGTATAACAACAGCTCTATAACAGTATTGTTTTATTTACTTTGTTACACGTTTCTACAATATTGACTGCTTTTTCAATGTTATTTCATGTTCCAGTACATGAACAAATGATGATGATATTCAGGACAAAGGCCATATCAGGGCACACAGTTTACAACATGGTTCTTTATAATAAATATGTTTTACTGTTGAACATTGGCAGATTTTTATTCAAGCAAAATATCTGGGCAGGAAATATATCTTCCTTTTCACATTAAAATATTTCTTAATTGGATTAATGCAAAATAATGAAAATTATATTAAAACGTGGTCAGATGACGTTGTGCACTTGTCTTCCACCAAGGCGCCCAGGTTTTGAGGCTCTGTTTGGCCATGAGAAGGTATTGGTTCACCTTCCCTACCATGTGGGTTTTCTCTGGGTATTCCACTTTTCTCCCACATTAAGACTCGTTGTCCACTACCATCCTGGCCAACAGGAGTGGCTAATATACGGGTTTGTTGACCGAACCTGTTTTATTATTGTTGTTACAAATATAGTTTACCTCTGACATGTTGGATCTTAATTTTGTACCAATCCCCAAACTCACGGCACTTCTCTGCACTCAGCTTGCTCTCATACTTCCAGTTGGCTATGTAGGAGATTGTTGACTAAGAGAAAAGAAGATGTACACTTAAAATATCTAGTGAGTGAGGAATGTTAATGTGAAGAAACATGTAGTGGTTCTGTGAGAAAAAAGGTTTCAAATTTATCACCGTACATTTTGGAATTTTTTTTCTTCTAATTTCAGCTGTTAAATTTCATCTTTTAATTTTTTGTAACTTTGTTTAGACCTAGTAGCTTCAACTCAATTGGCATCACAGAGGTCTGAAACTTTGATGTTCTGACCATGATCTGAAAATTCACAAGGTACAAAAATTCATGAGTTTTGAAGCATTTGTGAAAAAAGTGAAATAGAAACCTTTGTGAATATTAGCAACTTTTCAAAAGTCCTATCAAAAGTCCGATCTACACAGGTTTCTTACATGTAAAAAGACACAGTAAAACACTCAATTAAAATTGTACCTGAGTCAGTGGACATTCCTTGGCTAGAGCAGACTGACTGGATTCCCTAAGTAGGGAAAGGACGGCACACCTTACAGAATGGTCAGTCCAGGTATCGGGCACGGTGAACCCAGAGGAACTGTAAATACAGGAACAAGTAAAGTTGTGCTGGAATAAGAAGAATGCTTATATAGATGAAACTTAATTACAGTAGACAGACCTGGCCCCGTATTCAGGAAACCATTCTCATGCTCAAGCATGGATTATGTGATCATGCCAACTTTCTCGTAACTCACTTAAATTAGGTGTCACAATCACAGAGTCAATTGTTATCAATGTAAACTGTAACAGTTTATAGTCTATCCAATTTTTACATAATTTTGACAAAATGTGATTTAATTTATCTAAATTTATCTCCTTAACAAGATAAATATTATGTTTGAGCACTGAATGTGAGTTTGAGCATGAGAACGGTGTCATGAATACAGGCCCAGGATTTGACCTGTGACTAATTTGATCTGCCTGTTAACTCATTCACCCCTACATGTTTATATTGGACTTGCCCAGTCTTTGATTTGGTAAGACTCAAATGTGACTTTAGGGGTGAATGGGTTAATAAGCAAATCGACCCAGCTGAGATCTTCTATATTCTTCCTTCCATTAACAAATCCTTTACAAACATATAATCTAATGTGAATATAACTAATTCGGCACCAAACTTAAGAGGAGCAGAAAAAGTTAACTACCAGTTGGAAATTTCAAATTAAAGACTGTCCAGGAGTTCTTAACCCTGCTACATTGATAATCTTCCGACCTTCCCATTGGTGAGTCCTGGATTATCTGTTAAGGAAACTTGAGATTTGAGCTTTATTTAATAGATATAAGCTTGATCATCTCAATTTTTGTTGAAAAATTCTTTTACGTTTCTTTCTAAAGTGAAGTAAAAATAAAAAAATAAAAAAAAATAAAAAAGTTTACGTACAGATTTTCAAGGTTTCTAAACCAGAATTTCCTTTGAATTTTGATTTGGATATATCTATTGCGATGGTAAGAAGCACTTCCATTGACCATCAGGTAGCTCAGTGTTGACCATCAGGTAGCTCAGTGTTGGCTTGAGTGACAGAATCCATTGACCATCAGGTAGCTCAGTGTTGGCTCGAGGGACAGGATCCGTAGACCATCAGGTAGCTCAGTGTTGGCTCGAGGGACAGGATCCGTAGACCATCAGGTAGCTCAGTGTGGGCTCGAGTGACAGAATCCCTTGACCATCAGGTAGATCAGTGTTGGCTCGAGGGACAGAATCCATTGATCATCAGGTAGCTAAGTGTTGGCTCGAGGGACAGAATCCATTGACCATCAGGGAGCTCAGTGTTGGCTCGAGTGACAGAATCCATTGTCCATCAGGTAGCTCAGTGTTGGCTCGACTGACAGAATCCATTGACCATCAGGTAGATCAGTGTTGGCTCCGGTGACAGAATCCATTGACCATCAGGGAGCTCAGTGTTGGCTCGAGTGACAGAATCCATTGACAATCAGGTAGCTCAGTGTTGGCTCGAGGGACAGAATCCATTGACCATCAGGTAGCTCAGTGTTGGCTCGAGTGACAGGATCCGTAGACCATCAGGTAGCTCAGTGTGG